CATACATGAAGCTTCTGGAGCCCCCCGCCTATCCAATAGAGCTGATCCCATGGATTACATCGTAATCTAATTTAGGGCTCATCACTTTTTGTTCGGCATTCCGAGGATTCATCCATCATGGCTAACTTTGGAACCTGGCTCTGATACTACTTGTAAGGAATACGAACACCACCTATCTCCACATTGGTATGATATTGTCCACTTTGGCCCTAAACCCTCATGGATTTGCTCTTGGGTTATACCCAAAAGGTCTCATTCCAATGGAGATATTTGTTCATCTTTATATACCCTTTATCCTTCCCATTTCTAACCAATGTGGGACTTTGGTCGCATACCCAACAAGTGGCACACAAAAACGATAAGACAATGAGCATTTTTCTAATTAATTAAAAACTACCCTGAATTTGTTTTTGTTAACAGTAAATTCATCCCCGACCTATTTTTATTCTGATTTAAGTCTTTATTTTATTTTTACTCAGATTGCTGCTATATTCCTATCCTACGGGTTACTGTAGGACAGAAGTGGAAGGTCTTGATGTTTTTGTAAAAGGTTTATCATCTTTTTTATCATCTTGTTTTTTCTACCTGGTTCAACAAACAAATTGCAAGGCCTATTCTTAAGAAGCTGGAAAGGATTTTGGCAGATGATGCTTGGAGATTTCTTTCCCACAATGTCGCTTGGAATATTTGACTCCTGGTGTCTCAGATCATAGTCCCAGTGTTGTCAAAACTAGTATTGCTACTTGTTCTGTTCCCAAAACCCTTCAGGTTTTTCAATCACTGGATAAAGCATGGAGAGTTTTTACTGCTGTGGAGACTACCCGGCTGTCAAATGTAAACGGAAGTTTCATGTAAAACATGTGGCCGAGGCTTAAGGCTTTGAAGTCTCCGTTGAAAATTTTGAGTTCTACTTGTTATGCAGATATTGTACAGAGGGTGAAAACAGCTGAATTAGAGGATGTGCAGGCTCTTTTGATGAAACTCCAACTGAAGAGTTGATGATAAAAGAGAAGCTCTTCTCGTCAATGTGTGTGAAGTACTGGGCTGCTGAAGAATCATTTTTTAGGCAGAAATCTTGAATTTCTTGGGTTCAAGAGGGTGATCCTAACACTGACTTCTTCCGTAGGATGATGATGGCAAGAAGATCCAAAAATGCGATTTCAGCTCTGCACAACAATGCTGGGGAACAGATTCCTGATCCTATGGCCATTCAGAACGAGATTCTTAGCTTTTACAAGAATCTTTATGGGAAAAATGATAACAATGTTTTAGGATATAATGTTTGATCACTTGAAGAATATTGTCAGATCCAGTTTGAAGGAGGAGCAACAAAATGCTCTAATTGCAGAAATTACTCCTGAAGAAGTGAAATCTGTTGCTTTTTCTTTAGATGGAGACAAAGCTCCTGGTCCGGACGGCTACACGGCAGAATTCTTCAAAGCTAATCGGGGAGTTGTGGGAGATGAATTGACTAAAGCTATTATCCATTTTGTTTTTAGAATGGGAAGCTTCTCTCTGCTATAATGCAATATCAGTTACTGAGTTTACGCCCATTGCATGTTGTAATAATATTTATAAGTGCTTTTCTAAAATCCTAGCTAATAGATTAAGGGCTTGCCTCCCTTCTCTTACTAGCTTGAATCAGAGTGCATATGCAGAAGGAAGGAGAATACGTGATGATGTTACCCTTTCACAGGAGGTTGTGAAGTGATATTTTAGAAAGAATCTGGCACCAAGATGTGCTCCGAAAGTAGGCATTATGAAAGCCTTCCATTCAGTGGATTGGAATTTTATGTTTAGTACTTTAGGAGCTATGAGTTTTCCAATGAAGTTCATTAATTGGCTAAAGGCTTGTATTACTATTCCTAGATACTCCATTATGATTAATGGAGGTTTGCGTGGATTCTTTGAAGGTAGGAAGGGTTCAAGGCAAGGAGACCCCCTCTCTCCTTATTTGTTTGTCATAGCCATGGAGGTTTTGTCATGTATGCCTAATTCTGCTGCTGATAACGGAGTATCATCCTATAATTCCAGATGTAGCAAAATCCATTTGATACACCTGTGCTTTGCAGATGATTTAGTCATCTTCTAGCCATCAAGAGAATTTTACATCAGTTATATGATTTGCCTGAGCTAAAATGTAATCCTGCAGAAAGTGAGTTCTACTGTGGGGGCATTTCTGACAGCATGGCAGCAAGAATGAAGGAGGTTTCAGGGTTCAATATGGGTGTTCTTCCTGTTAGATACCTGGGAGTTCCTTTAATTACTGATAAGTTTCAAATACAATTTTTGCAAGCCTCTTTCAGAGAAAGTTACAGCAAGAATCCTGCACTGGACTTCTAAATCCTTATCTTTTGATAGTAGAATACAGCTTGTTATCTATAATTTTTTAGCATCTCAAACCACTGTTGTTCTATCTTTATCTTGCAAGAAAAAAGTCATTAAAGAAGTTTAGAGGCTTCGTAATGTTTTTTAATGGAAAGGTGATGATAAGGCTGCTTCAGTTAGCGTGGAGTTCCGTGACATTGCCTAAACTTAAAGAATGGAATGCAGCTTGTTTGTTGATGTTATCTTGTTGTTTCCAGGATTTCTATCCTTTTGCAGGCTCCGTGTAGTGAGGTGAGCACTCTCTGCCCACATAACCTTGCGTGCGTGCGTGGGGTACCTTTGTAGGTAGGGAAAATGATTATTTATTTGTTTTTGTATTTTAAAAATTAAAAATAATTTAAAAAAGTAAAAAAATATTATTTTATATATTTTTAAATAAAAAATATTTTACCCCTAAACCTAACATTATATATTGAAAAGTTTCCGTGGCACGTGTCATCAAACTATTGACATAAAATCTTTATTATTGACAAAGAAATAGGTTAAGGATGCAAATTAAAATAAAAATAAATGAAGAACTAATTTCTTGATGATTTGAAAATGGAGGATGATTTTTAACCAATTATCCTCTTTTTTTCTTTTTGCTTTTTCTTTTTCAGCCTAAAAGCTTTTGACCGGTGGTAACTCTTGCAAAATACCAAATTAAAAAGGGAATTACATTTCTTTACATGTTCAATTTTTAGCTTGAAAATATGGTTTTTATCCTTTGGTTACATCGAGAGGAGAGCATAAATTGCTTATTCGATATGAATTCTCTTTATTGCAATTATATAATCAAGAAATTAACAGGAAAAAAAAGGAACCATAGAGGCAATGGCCACAATCTAACCATGGAACATTTTCCTCTGGGACCCATCATATCCACATGGAGTGGAGATTGCCACAACTGCCAAACTGGAAAGGAGTGGCAAGAGATAATAAAACCACTTGTCTGTCTCTTGAGTTTTCAGTTCAGCAACGTAGGCAGGATTGAAACAACATTAGTACTATTCCCTGAAAATGGAGAGTTGTTCTCTGCAATCATCATCTATAACCACCATACCAACCTCATTAACCAAATGCGGGTTCATTGAGAAACCTTCTATTCATGGTCAGTTCCTCAAGTTTCCTAATTTAAGTAAGTTTGCACATTCAAGAAAGCTCAAGATTCTAGACATCAAAGCTCAAGCTTCAGGTACATAACGATAACAAGTCTAACTTCATTTGTTATGTTTTTAGTTTCATGAAATGGGTTGTTTTGAGATTTCCTGGTTGATTGTTCTGATAGCTCTCTGTTATGATCTTGGAACTTCAATGTCATAAACGGAAAGATGGGTTCCATTGCCATTGAGTAATTTTGAGTTTTGACTGATATTCATTTTTTTTTTTTCTGAAGTTGCTGTAAAATTCAGCTCTGGGGCAGTTGAGGCAATTTCAAAAGAATTGGAAACAAAAGATGAGAATCTTGCATTTGTCGCTGGTGCTACTGGCAAAGTTGGCTCAAGAGCAGTGAGGTCATTTTCTAGTGCTTTACTTTTTCCAGCTTGATGGTTGGTTGACAAGTATTCTTTGACAATTGAATTTGCTTCAGGGAGCTTCTCAAGCTTGGATTTCGAGTTAGAGCTGGTGTCAGGAGTGCCCAGAAAGCGGAAGCTCTTGTGCAGGTATAAATTTCACAGTTCAGAAGAGAATTTTACCGCATTTGTTTTTCTTTCAAAGCATGTTTTACTAAAAGAGTAATCTATTTGCAGAGTGTTAAGGAAATGAAGCTTGATGTTGAAGGATCTCAGCGTAAGAAAATAAAGCATTTCTAATTTATTTGAAAATTGAAAGAAATTAAGATAGTGATGAATTAAAGATACAAATTATTTAGATATAGAAAACAAGGCCTCCAATGTATGCATTATAACAGGTATTCTTTGGTCTTTAGCCCAGCTGTGGAAAGGCTTGAAACTGTGGAATGTGATTTGGAAAAAACGAATCAGATTAGACCAGCATTAGGCAATGCATCTGTGGTTCTATGCTGCATTGGTGCCAGTGAGAAGGAGGTGTTTGATGTTACAGGACCTTGTCGGATTGACTACCGGGCTACTAAAAACCTAGTCGAGGCAGGTAAGAAAGACATTGCATTGTGTAATGCCAGTGTGACCGCTTAAAGTCTTTTGTTTTGGATAATTGAGTACTGTTTTGTTTGCAGCAACTGTTGCAAAGGTCGACCATTTTATTATGGTTTCATCATTGGGAACGAACAAATTCGGATTTCCTGCAGCTATTCTAAAGTAAGTTTTGTAATTTGGAAGCAGAATTGGCATAAGAATTGTTAGTTGGTGACAATTACTGATTTTCCTTTACTTTTTCTGTAAAAGTTTATTTTGGGGTGTCCTAATTTGGAAGAGGAAAGCAGAAGAAGCACTCATAACAAGTGGTGTTCCTTACACTGTAAGAACCTGCACATACATTCATCTGACACACAGTTTATATGAGTATACCAGTTTATATTAGCTTGAGCTTGATTATTTATAGCTCTCTTCAGATAGTGAGACCTGGTGGAATGGAGAGGCCTACTGATGCTTACAAGGAAACCCATAACCTTACTGTTTCTGTGGAAGATACTCTATTTGGTGGCCAGGTGTCGAATCTGCAGGTGCGATTCATTTCAATTTTTACTTTCAAATTTGAGATTCTTTAAATTTCTTTTTGGACATATTTGTCAACTGATTGCAAGGAAAATAAACAAAACTTCAGGCTTTAAAACAGAGAGTGAAATAATGAACAGCCCTCACTTCTAGTCTGCATTAGTGCATTTCCACTTCTCTTTCTGAAGAACATAGGATGATGATGTATTCGTTCAATGCTGATTCTTAGCTCTTTTCAATGTGCCTGTAATATATGTTGGAATCCTGTTTAAAAATATTCAAAATTTTGGGGCAGGTTGTAAAGGAATTAGCTGCCTTTTCTGCTCTAAGCCGAACTCATTTCTGTCCTTTTTTTTTTTTTTTCAAGTAGCTTATATCTCTGGACTGCTAGCAATAGTTCTGTTTGATTTTACGCATTAGTGGTAGCATGGTGGGTATGATCTCATGTAAAACCTAGGAGTTACTGGCGAGAATTATGGTGCATGCTAGAAAGTGAAGACTCACAGAAGACAGTCCCAAATTGCAGGTTGCAGAATTTATGGCGTTTATGGCCAAAAACCGTGGGCTTTCATATTGTAAAGTGGTGGAAGTAATTGCAGAGACAACTGCACCTTTGACTCCTATGGATAAACTGCTCGCAAAAATACCATCTCAACGTGTTGAACCAAAGGTATACTCCATTCACTCTAGAAAAATGAAATGACAAGTTCATTTTCTTTGGGATTGTAACAGAATAATTTGAATGTGGCAAGCATATCGCCACTCTATTTACCAATGCTCTAGCTATTTTGTCTTTCTTCTTCCTTCTCTGTGTCATATGAAAAGGTGACTCGTGACTGGTGATATTGTGTTCTCAGAAATCAGACGTGGCAGAACTGCCTAAGTCTGTGCCTCCTAAGATTGTTGAACCTGAGGCTTCAAGCTCTCCCTCTCAGATGGAACCTGCCCAGGCAAAAGTTGTGGTTACCAGGCCACTCTCTCCTTATACTGCGTAAGCCACTATAGCACATTCCCACTTTGTTTCAGCAGCTACCTAAAGAACTATTATTTTAGATTGATTGTACAAAATCTTGACTTACAAATGCAAGATCATAACATGATAGCCTTTCTGTTACTGTATCATTTGTATCAGGCTAAAGTTGTTAGAGTGTTATTTTCTGTAGCTGCAATGGACTTCCATATTAGGTTCTTGTAAAGTCACCCACGCAACCTGTTGCGTGAAGCTCTTTCCTGGCCTTACAAGGCCACATGCAGACCTTCTACAAAAAGGGATAAAATCCGCAAGTGAAGGTCTTATATCCAGCAATTTTCATCAAGTGTCTGTAATTTGATGGGGAAAAAAAGAGCTCCTTGTCGAATACAACATTAAACAGAATGCTCTTATTTTGAATTTGCTGCTAAGTTATCCAATTATAGTACTGTTATATGGTCTTCTTTGTTATCATCTTACTGTTCTTGACAGTTATGAAGATTTGAAACCACCTACTTCTCCCATTCCGACTCAACCTAGCAGTAAGAAAGAAAATGTCAATTCGGCAGAAGCAGTATCAACACTTGATACTTCGGATCCTTCTCCTGCGTCAGCATCCGGAATAACTGGGACAAAACCAGCCCCAGTAGAAACAAAGACAGCAAGGCCTCTTTCTCCTTATGTTGCGTAAGCCTTCTTTTATCACTTTCCACTTTTAAGGCTCCTGCCACTTCATTTATTGAATAGCCATTGCTTTTGGCACTTAAAACATATTTTTGAAATAGAATAAGACTTGTGTACTCTAGTTTTAATTACTCTCAGGTTATCTTGAACTGTGAAAGTTACTCATTCTGCTCAAAATCTTATGCTAGGTATCATATTAATGGTTTTCGTTCTCCCTTGTGATTTATATCTCATTATGTTTTTAGATATGATGATCTCAAACCCCCCACATCACCATCTCCAACTGCACCCGTGGGATTAGTCGCAACAACCTCCTCCATAAATGCAATGCCTAAGACAGGTAACAACGCACCTCCAACAGCCGCAATCGACAATCAGCATCATAAAGAACCAAACCCAAAGCCACTTTCACCTTATCCCATGTAAGCTTGATGTCTCAGATTCAATTTATTTTCCTTCAAACTTCCTGTTGTGAAGATTTGCAAGAAAGATTAGTCATTGTGTAATGCCACCAAGTTTTTTTCTTTTATGCCACTGAGTTTCTCTTTTCTTTCCATACAAGGTATGAAGACTTAAAGCCTCCAGCTTCTCCAACGCCGTCACTGAAGCTATAGACTGATCTAATACAGAGCAAAGCATCAATCATGACATTACACTTGGGAATTCGTGCAGCATTTTTACTTGCGACCTATGAAGAGGCTAGCAGCAGAAATTGCGGAATTCTTTCAATGTTTTTTATAATAAAGTTTACGTTGTAACAGTTTTCTTATCGAATCTATCTTGATTATTCTTTTGACCAATTTGATGTAAACGCAGCAAAATCAATTCGACAGTTTTACCTATTTTTTCTTCCAATCTTGTTTCATGGATAGGAGCCCTATTCATCCTTGAACAGCTTCAAAGAGAATTTGCTTTGTGGTTTAACTGGTTATGTCATCTGGCTCTAATGTTTGCTTCTATTAAATGGTCAATTTCAGTGGCAAGTTCTACGTTTATGCTCCGAAATCTTGGTTATCGGTTCAAGTGTACTATTGGTCGGCTTCTAGCACCGTTAATAGATGCTGTCATTTTTGTTCTGGCTTACCGGGATCCTCACTAATGGAACGAGAGATCCTCTAAGGAGAAACATTACGAATGGTTCGAAGATTACTCTCATTTTCGCGATCTAATTCAGGCCCACGTCCCTCCAAGCTCCTCTGTGTGCACTCTCTCCCTCTCTTGTGTACTGCTGTTGGGTTCTTTCATTTATTTTCACTTTCAGGAATCGTTTCTCTCGAGGACTCATTTTGCTGTGCTTGTTTTAGGAATAAGAAAATTTGAATGGTTTATTGGAGGTGTTGGAGCTTGGCCGTGGGAATTCACCGTTTTGTGAAGAGATTTAAAGAGATGGGATTGCCGAGATTACTTGCAATGACTTGTCTGCTGTTGCGGTCGAGAAGATGCAGAAACGGTCAGAAGCTAAGGGATATAAATTGGAATATGTTTCTGAAAGCTAAGGGATTCGTTAGCCAAAACAGGCTCCCGTTGAACGTAGTAATCTTGAATCTTGGTGGCAACGTAGTGGCAAATGCCTCCATTAACCGTTTACCTCCTACTTGCGGCATGGTGTCTTGGTTAAATTGAGACCTTGTCTGGCGTATCAGTTAAATCACCGTTTTGTTGATTTTAAAAAAAAAATTGCTTCACATTATTTTTTGTTTAAATAGTTTTGATATATTATTATTAATAATAAATTGTTAAAAATAAAAAATAAAAAATATTATTTTAATATATTTCTAACCAAATATACTTTAAAAAAAACTTCTATCACTGTCAGTACACCGTCTTAGTAACAAGTGCCTCCATTAACGAAGTTAAGAGCCACTGACTGAAGCGGAAGAGAATTTGATAGAAGAGGGATTAGAGAAGGCTCTGCGTGATATTTGTTTTTATATTTTAAAAATATTTTTAAAAAAATGTAAAAAAAATTATTTTTTTTGTTTTAAATTAATATTTTTTATATTTTTAAATAATTTTAAAAAATAAAAAAATATTATTTTAATATATTTTTAAATAAAAAATGCAAAACTCCTGCAGCAACTTGTTTTTTTTGCCTCCCAGGTCCCGAAGTACCTTGGGTTACTGACTGGATCTGGATCCGGATCCATACCCAATGAGGTTTATTAACATGCGAATAAGTTGGGCCTTTCACAAATGCACAGTAATAGAATATAAACGCTAGAAGAAGGGCTTGAACCTTCGACCTTGTGGTCCAGCAGATGACGGCATTTCGAACATAAGGTATTTGTATTGAAAGATGAGAGGAGGAAAATGCCGTAGCGAAAGGACAGGAAAGAATAGTTTACCTACACTTCTTTTTTAGATTAACGTGGTTGTTCAGGCTAGTTTGTGTGTATCACGACTAATCTTACAGGCCCTGAAGTTAACAACTATATAAGTCTCCAATGGCCATCATATAAGCAACCAAAAACTCGAACCTGAGACCATAAAGGGAGCAAACCCCTTGATCCCAAATCCTTACCGCTTGACCACCACCTAAATGGTTATTATCTGGCACGTTCTTAATTGTAATAGTGCGTTGCTGGTTTGGCAAAGTTGTGGTATCATGCTTGAATTCTTTGAAGTTGGATCATAGCTTGCAAAATATCTTGGTGCTGTTTGTTTTTGTAGTAGTTTTTGCTTTTAAAAAAAACTTCATAAACATGATTAATATTAAAATTTAATTTATTATTTACAGGACTCTTGAAAAATTATGTTATCACCATAGGTTTACCAAAAGTTGCTTCTTCCCTTCTCTTGTGATCTTGAAACTCTTCATTATTTATGGGATTTATCAAAAATAGCTGAGAATTACTTCTCTTTTCTTGTGGTCTTGAAACTTTCCACTACTCACTTTTATAAAGTGAACAATGAAAAATGACTTTACTATTCATGATCTTGGCCTGTAGGGAAGAGAGAGGAGGTGGTGTTGGAGAGACAAGTAGATGGTGAAAGAGAGAGTGACAGAAGATCCATTGTTCTGGATGTTGGATAGTAGGAGGACATTTAGAGTGAGCTAAGCTACAAAACACTAGGAACGCCGATGATGATGCTCATTGTGGGATAGTAGCGGGTGATGCTGTTGAATAAGCAAGTATACTAGCAACTACATTACTAGTTAAGCTAGTATAACTTGTACTTGTAGCTGAGGTATTTAGATATGTAGCTGAGGTATTTAGATATATAGCAGCGGGTGTTGGTGGTGAAAGCCCAATTGGATTTTCTACTGATTCTGTGATAAGAAACACAGGAAGAGATATTAACCCAGGGTAAGAAAGAAACGAACTAAAAAAAGTAAGAAGAGAACAATTCAGTCGATCCCAAAAAACAAAGAGAAATGGTTATGCCAGCAAAAAAATGGTATTTTGTTCTGGAGGATCTGGTGTTATGTTTTAAAGTGATTTTTTGTTTTTAAATATATTAAAATAATATTGTTTTCATTTTTAAAGTATATTTTAAGTGTCATGAATCCAAATATATATATATATATATATATTGTTTTTTAAAAACTTAGAAGATTGAATTTTGTATTTGATGAAATTATAAATAATTTAATGAAATAATAAAAAATATTTTATATACAATATTATTTTATAACATTAATTTAAAAAGTATTTTTAACTAAGTATATTAAATTATTTTTTATTTAGTTTTAATTTTAATTATAGTTTTAATTAAACATGTATCAATATCAAACCAACCTCAATTAAAAATATCTTTTATAAAATAATATTTTTCAAACTGTAACCATAAAAACTATCATAATATCAAATATAATTTTAAAAAAAATACTATTAATTTCATTTTGATCAAGAGGTTAGATTTGAGAATGCATGGCCTCCAAGTATTAAATTTATAGTGTGTTTTGCATTAGGATCAAGATATTATTTCTTAATTTTTTTTAAAAAATAATTTTTATTTAATGTTTTAGATTAATTTGATGTATTGGTGATAAAAATAAATTTTAAATAATAATAATAATAATTTATTTTATTTTATTTTTAAATAAAAATATTGTTAAAATTAACCGTTACTGTATTAACTAGCACTCCCATGCCACTTGATTTGTTGAATATGATCTTTGGTTAAAATTATTTTTTTTTACTACAAGAATCTAAATTGAGAAGCAGTATTTACGTTGTAGAGATGATATTTTTCGTAATAATATTTTCAACTTAAAATTTAATATATTTTGACGCCATCCAGTCTCAGTGGGTTCACTCGAGTTCCGTAACTTATAACGTATGAAAAAAATAAACGAAGTGAGTTGCCTGGAGTTGTGATGGGGCGAGAAGATCATCTTGTCGGCATGATTATCAATTGTCTTGCATCAATAGATTATCACATATAACACAAGACACGATCCCGTGTCTTGTCTCTAGATCAATAGCTTCTTAAAATAAAAAATCAGATTGGTTCGTGTCAAATTAATTGTTCAGACATTGATCTGGCTTGCTAGTTCCAGAGTTGTTTAAGGATGAGGTAATATTATTTTTTAAAATATTATTTATTTAAAAATATATTTTCGATATTAATATATTAAAATGATTTGAATACATTAAAAAAATTAATTTAAAGTAATAAAATATATTTTTTAATTTTTTTATAAATATTTTTAAAATAAAAAAACAAAAAAGAAATAGATTCTCAGAAATATAACTTAAATATGTTGTTTAATTGAGAGATTATTACATACCATGTGTGATGTTTACAGTGGTAGAGAGTTTGTTAAAAATAAATCCATGCAAGTTGGCGCCAAATCAATAATAATCTGGTAACTAACTATTTAGGTGGTGGTCAAATAATAAAGACTTGGGATCAAGAGGTTTGCTCTCTATGTGGTCTCAGGTTCGAATCCTTGGTTGCTCAGATGATGGCCACTGGAAGCTTACATGATCCTTAACTTCAGGGCCCGTGGGATTAGTCGTGATGCATGCAAGCTGGCCTGAACACCCATATTAATCTAAAAAAAAAAAATTCCGTAACTGGTTATGATTCCGTAGATAAAAAACAATGAAAAAAAAATATAATAACAAGCTGAAAGGCAAAAAACTACAAATATTTATGATTTCCTGAGAAAAATGCAAAACCATGGGTGACCGGCGCCACCAGTTGAAGTTAAAATATTTTGATTAACGGTCCATCATCCCATGTCAGCAACCACGTAGACATGACATTTTCATGTTTTATAAAAGACTATATCAAATAATATGGTTGTTTTGAAGTGTTTTTACAGTTGTTTTATAAAGTGTTTTTTAAAAATTATTTTTAATATAAAAATTATTAATTTGAAGTAAAAAATAAAAAAATTAAATTTTTTTAAATTTTTTTTAAAATACAAAAATAAATAATTATTTTTAATATATTTTTAAATAAAAATATTTTAAATTACAATTACTATCACAATTCAAAAAAATACCGTTAACGTTCATTTTAGAGTCAAGGTAAACTCGGTGTCATATTTTAATATATTAAAATAAAGAGATTAAATCTCCCTATTGGAGAGCTCTCAAGGGAACGACGTCGAGAATAGAAGATCATTTTAAGGACATGGCAGTGCTTTGTTGAAAGACAGTTATGCCCTTTTCGTTTTCATAGAGATTTTTGCCATTTTCTGATTCCATTAGTTTTATCGTTGAGTTCACTCAAGTGACATATTTACTATACTAGAAAAAAAAATTCAAAATAAATGGAGTGGATTTATTAGAACCATGCTGGACGAGAATATCATTTTGAATTTGTTTTGCTGTATATAAATATTTTTATCTTTTTTTTTTATTTTAAAATATTAATATCAAAAATATTTTTTTAATATATTTTTAAATAAAAATACATTAAAAAACAATCACTGCAATATTAAATATTATTTAAATCAATAAATTATCACATATCTTTTGTTCTTGAAGAGTTTTGAAAATCATCGTGCCAAATTGACTAGTCACCATATAAGATGTGACCTCTTTTTTTAAAAAAAAAATTTATTAGCTAAGATAAGATTCTTAAGAACTCGAGTTTATATTAGCGTCAAATTCAGTGCATCTCTAAATTCTAATGAATAAATAGCAAGAAAAAGAGAAAAAAAAAACTAGTTTAAGAGAAAAAAAACTATTTTTTTAAAAATCATAACAGACCAGTAAATTGTTATTTTGTTATCTTTCACAACCACAGTACAAACTATTATTATAGAACACAAGTTTCAAATATAATTAACTATCTCATAAATAATTTTTAGTGTTATAATTTATTAATATTCTGACTCATGTTTGAGAGTAGGATATATATTATTTTTTAAAATATTGTTTATCTTTAAAAATTTATTTTTAAAGTTAATGTATCAAAATAATACTAAAAATATCTTAAAAACATATTTTAAATATAAAAAAATCACCATTGAATTACAATGAGAACAAAAACTCAACCTATTGTCATTTTTTTTATTTTAAAATTATTTTTTAAAAAAATTAAAATTTAATTTATATTTTATTTGATTCAAATAAATATTTTTTTAGTATTTTTAAATTATTTTAATATGATGATATTAAAAATAGTTTTTAAAAATAAAAAAATATTATTTTAATATTTTTATAAATAAAAAATAATTACAACCATATAAATAAAGTTATTAAAATGTAAAGACTAAAGTATCCAAAAAATATGGTCATAAAGGAAACATCATTCAGCCAAAAAATTCAAGAAAAAAAACTTAGTTGTACTTGGAATTAAATAATTCCATATATATATATATATATATATATATATATATAAACACACACATACATAAAATCTACACAACAAATCACAATCAAGACTTTTTCAACAACACCAAAAACGGCACTGCTTTTTATCTCAAAAACTCCTAAAGCGGCACCGTTACAACCATTATTTCCTACCTAAAATGTATATCTAAAAAAACCGACATATTTACATGGCAAGAAATTAAATTAAATTACTAAAAAAAAGTAAATAATTAAATTTCATGGTGTCCTTTTAAGCTTCTCTCTCTACAAAATGCTTCTGCTGGAAGCCTTTTCTCTCTGTACATCTCGCTTGCTTTCTCTCTCTCTCAACACACACCCCCACACCCACACACACATCTCCCTCGCTGGCCACCTCGATCTCGCCGGAAAATACCGTCGATCACCCATTTCGACTCAACAATTGAGTCTCCAGCGTCAAATTAACACAATTTCAGCAGCTTTTGTTACATATACGAGAGACACATAAAAGATTATCATATTATTTTGGATTCAATTTTGAATAATTTTAGTTGTAATTGATTAGAGATGGAGGGTGAGGAGGATTATGGATTTAGTGAAGAGGAGTACTCTTACGCCGATGATGGTGACTCGCATGACGGCCTTGCCGACAATGACGATTCTGCTTTACAGTGGGCTCCACCTAAGGGCTCAACTACTAAGGTATGCTTATTTTCTGTGGTTGTTGTGTTTGTTTGATTTTCAGCGTGAAAAAGATTTAACTTTTATTTGTTTTTGGTGGCCATTTTTTGTGTTTTGTGTACGAGGTTTTCTGTGTTTAATTTGGTCGTGATTTATTTAATTGGGGCAATTTGAGGTATTTGAACGAGGAATTTGTTAATGTTGTGTGTGTAGCTGGTGATTGTTTTGAGTTAAGGGGTGTTTTGTGCGTAAGTTGTTGAGCTTTTTGGTTTGTTAGTTTTTTTTTTAATCTCCATTGTGAGAAAAAAGCCCTAAAAGAAGTAAACTTTGGTGGTTGGTAGCTTAATCAAGCTGTAAATTGAAGATTGTGTGTTGGCAGTTATATCTGTTAGAAGTAAAATATGGTGATTGGTAGCTTTATGGAGCTTGAATCGTTGGTTAAATCGAAGATTATGTGTGGATAGTTGCTGGGTTCTTAGTGTGGTATCTGTATTTGGTGACCCTTTTTGGATTTCTTGCAGGTGATCACTAAAGAGTCCCTCTTGGCTGCACAGGTATACTTCTAAAAGCGAAAAAAAAAAATCAAACCTTTTGAACTGTCTTCTTTTATATGTACTTTATAGTTCCAGTTATTGATATTTTGATTTGGGATTTGTTGATTTAGAGGGAAGATTTGCTGAGTCATGGAGTTGCTATCACTAAAAGAACACCATGCACGGACTTTATTGATCCATTATCGATGGGATGTTGAAAAGCTACTTGCAGTGCTTGTGGAGAAAGGGAAATCGTGTTTGTTTACTGAAGCAGGTGTTACTGTGGTTGAAAATGTCGGTGATGATGTGCCACTGAGTTCATCTTCTACAATAACTTGTGATATATGCATAGAGGATGCATCTGCTGATAACGCCACAAGAATGGAATGTGGCCATTGTTTCTGCAACAATTGTAAGCACTTCACCCATTCTTAATGATTGATTTTCTTCTTACAGCCTTGGTTATATCTTTTCTGATATGCAAAATTCTATAAATATGGTTAATTTTGACTTTATCAGTTGGTCAAAGTTAGTATGGTTGTCTACAGCTTTATTTTAGATACTTGTCCCTAAGTCTGTTGAATTCCAATTCAAGATCCTTGAATTGTGCTTGCCAGTTGCGGAGCCATTTTGAACTGATATTTGGAGCTTTAGCAGCTGATGATGATATATGAATGTATTGGTGGTATATTGATATGCTATATGGGGATATACCTAATGCTGATGTTTCAATCATGATTAACCTCTTCATAGCTTCCTTTTCTTTTAAACACCTTGTTTCTAACTATATTTCTTTTGCTGTTTGAAGGCTGGACAGAACACTTCATTATAAAAATAAATGAGGGCCAGAGCAGGCGCATCCAGTGCATGGCACACAGATGTAGTGCTATTTGTGATGAAGCTATTGTCAGGAATTTAGTTAGTAGAAGGCATCCTAATTTGGCAGAGAAATTTGATCGCTTTCTTCTTGAGTCGTATATTGAGGACAATAAAATGGTCAAATGGTGTCCGAGCATTCCTCATTGTGGGAAAGCTATACGAGTTGAGGAGGATGAATTTTGCGAGGTAGAATGTTCATGTGGTCTGCAGTTTTGTTTCAGTTGCTTATCAGAAGCACACTCGCCTTGCTCATGCTTAATGTGGGAACGCTGGAGCAAGAAGTGCCACGATGAATCTGAAACTGTTAACTGGATCACGGTTCATACAAAGCCTTGTCCAAAGTGCTACAAACCTGTCGAGAAAAATGGTGGCTGCAACCTTGTTAGCTGCATCTGTGGACAGTCATTTTGGTCAGCATACTTTCCTGTCTCTCTTTCATTAATGTGTAAATTTGCAACTTGATGCTTGTTTGACCAAAAGAAAAGGAATTAGATGTGTATGGTTGTAACATAGGTTTGTGGATTTTAAAAATTTGTTCTCCATTTCTTGAATATTAGTCATGGTAATATGCCTCCATACTCATACAGCCCTGTCAGAATGGTTTAGCATGACTTCACTGCCCCTTTTTCTGCTGGGATTGTTGAGTTTGACTTAGGGCGGCTGACTACCTGAAGCAGGAGCTAGATCTGCAGTAGCTTTCATATAATTAGGGTTTTTCTTTGAATAGCTTATTTACATAATATATATGGTGTTAGTTTGGACAGATAAGATTTAGTTATTTTAGGGGCAATGATTTTACTTGTGATTTTGCTACCATTTAAAGTGCTGCTACTATAAAAAATAATCTCTTTTTTCTGGTTGTTCAGCGCAGACAACCAGCCAAAGGCTGTGTTAGGTATTTTTTGCCTTTTTCTTCCTCCATCACTACCACTTTCTTGTGGATTCATTGTACTGATTTACTGCATTGCTGCAACATGTTTAGTCTTTTGATAATATCTTTCAGTGAAGTTGGCTGACATTAAAACTTTGTCCTTCTTCTTTTCACTTGTCACAGTTGGGTGTGTGGTGGAGCTACTGGTAGAGACCACACTTGGTCAAGAATAGCAGGTCACAGTTGTGGTCGCTACAAAGAAGACCGAGAGAAACAAACTGAAAGGGCGAAACGGGATCTCTATCGATATATGCATTATCATAACCGCTTCAAGGCTCATACAGATTCCTTTAAGCTTGAAAGTAAACTGAAGGAATCAATCCTAGACAAGGTGTCTGTTGCAGAAGAGAGGGAATTGAGACTCAAAGATTTCAGCTGGGTAACTAATGGACTCAACAGACTTTTCAGATCAAGACGGGTTCTTTCTTATTCGTACCCATTTGCATTTTACATGTTTGGTGAAGAGTTTTTTAAGGATGAGATGACAGACGAGGAAAGAGAAATAAAAAAGAATCTATTTGAGGATCAACAACAGCAGCTTGAGTCGAATGTTGAGAAACTCTCCATGTTTCTGGAGGAGCCCTTTCAGCAGTTCAGCCAGGATAAAGTTATGGATATAAGGATGCGTGTCATCAATCTGTCTGTGACCATTGATACCCTCTGTCAGAAAATGTGAGTCTGATTACAATGGCTTTGAATATCTTTAAAAAACTGTAACTCATAAACTAACGAAGGGATTTGCAGGTATGAATGCATTGAGAGCGATTTGTTGGGTTCTCTTCATCTAGGCACCCATCATATAGCTCCTTACAAGTCAAAGGGCATTGAAAGGGCATCGGAACTTTCCTCCTGTTGGAACACCAAACTTGGTTCTACAGATGAATATGTACCAAGTGGTAATTTGAGTTTGAATCTGTTCTAACAAGGACGCTTCATTTTAGTTGAGGAGAAAACTACTTTTTTATCTGTCCACCATTTAATAGCCATACAGTAGTGTTGCATCAAAAACAATTTTAACTATCTATTTCTTCTTTAGAATCATGTGGAAGTTGTAGGTAATTATTGCATGTCTATATTCTACTATATGTAAATTGTCAGGTGATTTTGCATCTGTGGTGCTCATTTTTGTCAGCAATTTTTTTTTTTTTTTTTGGGTTGGCCATTATTGTTTTGTAAAATCTTTCAGTTGATTTTTGTGTCAGATTTTCTAGTGCAAGGGCTGTCTGTTTGGAGGATGGAAAGACTGTTCATATCTTTGAAAAGAAAAGCATTATTCCATTCTAAATGAATGTCCAATTTTGTGAATCACATAATACTACTATAATGCTGCCAGAAGTTATTTATAAGCAATCTTCTTCTTTTTCCCAAAATCCTTGATTTTGGGAAAGTATACATCTCAAACCTTTTATTCATTCAACTATATCTTGTGACATGCAGAATGAGGTCTTGTATTGTTATTGCTATACTTTGTCTACAACATGGAGTAGGGAGCCATTGCGGTTCTTATAGAGTATGCTCTCTTTTTTATGTATTAGATCTTGGTTTATAGCGTGTGTGCCAATAAGACTATGCAAGGTTAGAAAGCTAATTGACGCTTGTGTATTTTTTTTAAAGGTGCACTGACAAATTTGCATTGTAGGTGGGACATCAGAACATGACAGACCTTCTGGCTCTGGGAGTTCAGATGATAGTGGATGTTCTTATCGGAAGCGTGCTAAAAAGGAGGGTGGTGGGTTTTTTGATCTGAACTTGCCAGCAGAGATTGTAGACAGGAACTGAACCCAGAGACTGCAGACTCCATATATACTGCTGTACAGCTCTAACTCAGGACCCTCTTTTTTTGCTATGGAATTGATAATTGGTGGATTAAGCATCAAGTGCTTGCCTGTTACCATAGGATATTCTGGAAGTCAAATCTGATTTTCCATGTCTACATATTGTTTTCTTGTTGTACATAGCCTTTTATCAGGACACTGGTTGGTGATAGATTTGTAATACTCTCTACCTGAGAGATTTGAGCTAGACTTGAAACATATCTTTGTCGTAATTTTACAAATGATGATAATCTTACTGGTGGCAGGTCAGCTCCTCGTATTCTTTTCACCTTCCTTTGTGCAAATAAGCATGCAGATGCAGAAATCAAAATAGTTATTATATACAATAAATAAATAAATAAAACTTTTAATTAGATAGTTACACTTGGGCTTAGGGATATTTAGGAGGGCCTGGTTGTTTGTCCCACAATCGCCTTTTTGGTTGTGGGTTTGCATATACACCAGAGCAACAACTTGTGTGTTTGATGGGGTTAGACAAACCCTCGGATCTTAGATTCTAGGTTGTCTGTGAAGCTCAGATTTTTTTACTTTGGTGTTAGTGATTGCACAGCCTGACATCTGTACATGAAATGAAACAATTTAAGCTTCTCTTTTTTTGAAGAAAGGAAAATTTTTAATCTGTCAGCAGACTCGCAGGCAACAGGAAATGAGAGAGCTCAAAAACCAACAGAAGATGCCTTTGGTTGTTCTATCTTTTATCATTGGCATTGACTAAGCTGCTATTGGAAACTTCACTTTCTTCATGTGTCTCTTCCTGGGTTTCTATAATACCATTCCACGAGGCTCCACCTGTATGACGGGAGTCAAGAACGCATTAGTCTTGACATGAAGAATCGATGTTAAAAAACGGAAACGGAACCTGATGTTTAGTTAATTGTTAGAAACCCGTTATCACTAGCCAGTTGGCCTCCCAGTGAGAACACTTTCGTTTAATCAGATCCTATTCTTTCCATCCCATAGTTATAGAGATTTGGCATGAGGGGTTTGAATGGCTTCGAGGTATAATTCTTCTCATGTCGTTAGGGTTTAAATTCAAGACTATAAGTTACAAAGAGAGAGACTCACGATTCTCCTGGTTTTTAATATGAATAGTGAATGAAACTGTTCCGAAAATGCTAACAGATGGTTTAAAAAAATTATAGAGATGTGGACTTGCCTTCCAACACCGTCTTTTAGAGATGCTAATTAATGTCTACATTTTGCACTAAATCAAATGGGTTTCGTAGTTAGTAGAGATTTTTGTTTGTTTTTGGGTTAAACAAAAACAATAAATGCAAGTGCCACCATTTTAAATAAACACCAGGGAGCATGTCTGTCAGTTTCCTTTGAAAACTGAAGCTTGGCTTGTTCAAGAACGAGACCTCTTGTCTGTCATTTTGTCTATATCAAGTTTTATTGGTAGATTGAAACTAAAAACTATAATTTGATTCAATCCTGCTATGGTACTGCCAGAGTTGCCGCACCTTATACCCCCAAATCGGAAACTTCTCTGTGTCACGTTGCTCTGCAAATCTCGAGTATCTTGCTCTCCATCAAGTCAAATTGCTCTTGGATTTTTGTTTGCTATTGGTTTTATACAAGTTTATGAAATCGATGGCCTGTTTAATCTATGATTATATGATTGGATTTTCCAAGTTGACCCATCACCTCGATCCAAATTAGAAACTTCTTGAGATGCGATCTGTGGTCAAAACTTATCTACAGTCCATTCAAAAATAAAATTAATTAATATGAAGGGATGTGATTAAAAATAAAAACTATGGGATATGAGAGTGCACCAACGACATGTAGCCTGTCAGCCTATGATAGTTTGTCGTCTGTGGTCAGAGATTTTCTCCTTTGCAGCAAACGACATGTATCCCAACTCTAAAAGAGTTAAGGGCATTTCAGACATATGCTACCAGAGGACCTAGGAGTCGTCAAAGACCAGAAGAGCGGTGTCAGTGACATCATCCCATGTGGTTAGGCTTGTGTCGCAGCGTAGGGTTAACATTTTGACAGGTGTAGTCCTCCTACTCATTCTGTCGACGACTCCATATTTTCTGTCGCTGGATTGGAGATTTGGCAAGCCAAAGGCAAAGTAAAAAAGACAGGAAAAAAAAAATAAAAAAAAATCCTATCCCAGCATTATTGGATTAGTGCCATTTATCTTCTCATAGAATCCAGTTGGTGTGGATATACTTTGGTCCAAAAATAAATAAATAAATAAAATAATCTTGAAATCATCAGTAATTCCCTCCCTATTTTTGGCAGCAAAAGGGTACTTTCAAAGTGTTTGAGTTTGTCGGTAATATTACCTTTTAGAATATTTTTTAGTATTTTTTTATATTTAAAAATTTGTTTTTAATATTAATATATTAAAATGATTTAAAAAATTAAAAATTAAAAATTTTAAACACTATAAAAATTTCTGTTGACACTGTAGCCTTTTTACCCAATGCTTTGTTTATTTTTGTGTCTTTCGCTCCGCCATTGATCGAAGCATGGTCCTGGAACCCTAGTTAAACGTGCCACTTCAAAACAATTCCCACTAGGGCAACCGTTAGAATCTTTTTTGTTTTTTGACCTTCAATGTTGTTTTTTTTATTTAATTAATTTTTATTTTACCATGTATGGCACTCTACCCAAGATAAAGGCAAGAGGCTTTCCCCAGCAAGTACTGTTTTTTTTACTAGAAAAAAGGAGCTTTGCATGGTTAGGCAATGGTTAGCCCACCAAACCAGTCATTTCATATCAAAACAATATTATTGTATTTTTTCCTTTCCTTTGACCTCTACCTCTCGGCTCTTTTAAGGTCTCTTCACCTTTCTATTTCTAACAGATCACCAACTCCACTGTTAATGCCTTCTCTGGTGCAGAATGTGCTAGCTAGCGCAGGCTACGAGCCCTTTCGTTTTTGTGATTGGAAAAACAAAGACAATATTGCTGATGAGTATCAGAGGAACATCACTTTGCATCCATATTTGATACACTTCCCAGCTTTTCAAAAAGTAAAATCTTTGCACGTGTTGCAAGTACTTGAACAGGAGAATCATGGGATTGAAAACCCAACGGTTTTGAATGAAATGAACATTATACTTCAATTATTTTCAGTATCAAAATCATTAAATCACTATAATTAGTGGATAAACATGGTACTGTTGCATGGCAGACATGGCACAATATATAATTTGAATATTTGATAATCCTTTGGTTAGGTTAGTATCTTGATCTCTCTATATATTGTTATTATATTCATGCTTTCAATGAAGTGCAAAGTTTAAATTTCGTTGAAGCTCAAATCCCATGAACTCTAATTGCTATATATACAGCACAAATCAGTAACCTCCTTGTTTCTTGTCTCTTTCTTCCTTTTGAATCACTTAAGCATCACCTCTAAGATCTTACAAGGTAAAGCCATGAACTGATCATTTGCTTCTTTTCATGCAATGCAAAAAGCCCACCATAGCCAAAAGCTTCAAAGGTGGCATTGCTTTCTAAGACAAAGCGACTAGTCAAAAACTGACAACCCCTTTAAGCACTATCTATTATGTATAGCACTTATCCACAGGCATGTTATATTTGCATCATACTTGCTATAGTTTTATGCTACATGTCAATAAAACAACTGGATTTTTTGGGGGCTCGCATAGATATAGCTAAAACACGACTTTGGTTTTTTGAACCACTAGTTTCTGCTCAGCTTTTTAAAAAACAGAAAAAAAGAAAAGGAGCCCATTTGCATGACTAGTCTCTCTCCATACAAGGTGGTTCTTTTGTTTATAAACCGAGTTTATTCTGTTATCATTTAATGTTTTTTGGACGTTTCCTTCATGAAGTGTATTTTTATATGCTTAGTGCATGTCAATGCTTTCTGGTAGTATTTGCCATCCATTTAATGCTATCTCAGAAAATCCTCAGCTGTGGGGTCTAAAGACAACTTATTTGCCTCAATGCATGCAGTGAAGTGTCGGGCTGGTTCAACTTTTAAACAGTTCAAGTCCATGGAGGTAAGAGTTTCAAGGCACAAGCATTGTAATAGGTAGCTTCACTGTTTTCTTTAGTAGTAAAATAATCATTATTGCTGCTAATCTTATTTTATCCTTCTGAAGGCGTGCTAGGACTGGAAATCAGAAAAAAGATGGTTTCTGGGAAGAGATAGAGCTGAAATATTCTGTATCTAAACATTAATATTGGTGCAGCTCCATGTCCATACCCTTAACGTTTTTAGGCTAACAAATAAGGAGGTACGACTACGAACACTTTTCTTGCCGAGTCTATGTTTTACAATTATTTTTCGGTTTTAAATTGCTGCTATGGCAGAAGCCGAGAAGTAGAAGTTAAAGCATATGATGGTTTCTGGTTATGGCTATCAGTTGGTAGCCTTTACTTGTTGTAACTTCATAATACTATTGGTGTAGCTTCATGCCCATACTCTATACTTTTTCTGGCCCAGCAGATACTAGCAGCTGTTAGATATATGGCTCTTCTGCAGTGATCTTAGAAATAGATCTCTATTAATAGAAAGTATGAACTCATTTTTTCTTCTGCCTCCATTTTTCTTTTCTAGTCAGTGAATCATCATCTAAGTCTTACACGCTTGTTCTGGTTGTTCATGTTTAGCTGCTGATGGACCATGTTTTAGGGTAAAAAAGAGAAGAACTTATTCTTCTTCGATGTCTTTTGCTATCTATCATGATCAGTTCTGTTCTTTTCATTGACAGTGATCCATTTCAAAGAAAATTTGATGTTGCTAAACAAGAACCAAACAGCATCTTTGAAGATTTTTGTCACCTTAAATCGGTAAGCCTTTACAGGTTGATATTTAGCAATAAACTATCTGCAGTCAGTTTACAAGTATATTTGCTTCTGTTAAGGTTTAACTTAGCTTGATTGTTAATTTTGTTTCACAGAATAAAATGGGACAGCTTGAGGACTGTGTTGAAGCCAAGAAGAGGCAATTTCCTAACACAGAGGTTCAAAATTCATTAAAGCAGGAGGTGGGTATATTTCTTGACTTATTTCTGTTCGAACTTTGTAAAAGCTTTAAGAAATTCATTAAGATTGCTAATGTTAGTACATGCTCAAGAACCCTGTTTATTTCTCCTCTGTAAAAGTTAGTTCCTTTCAAGGAAGTCTCTCTAGATGCTTTGCTCTTAACTTTTTGCTACCCATTGCAAGTTTAGACCAGAAATTTGGTCAATCTGCAGAGGAAGCTATGAACAATTGTAATTTATATAATTCGCCAGTGCTTGAGAAAAAATATCCAACAGTCCACAGCTGAGAAGAAATAGGACAAACAGAGAAGAGTCTTTGTTATTTTTTGTATTCTAGAATGCAACAATCTTTTCACTTATTGCAAGTTGTTTCCTCATGCAGATTTTAGATCTTCAAGACCGATTGCAGGACCAGGTTTTGTTTCGCCGTGCCTTGGAGAAGGCATTAAGTAGTAGGTCTTTTTCCCATGATATCATGACTGATAGGTCAATCCCCAAGGTAAGGTTTCTTGTTGTAAATCACATAGTAGGTTACATTTTGCCAATGCATACGTATCTCCTACTATGCACTGTAATTTACTAATCGTTGATTTAAATGTTTTGCCTAGCTGTTTCCCTTTCTCACCTTAGCAATAGGCTGAGTGAAACTGCTTCTAACAGCAATGCGACATTCATTTTACTGAAATTGCAGCCCACTAAGGATTTGATGAAGGAAATTGCAGTATTGGAACTGGAAGTAGTGTATATGGAACGGTATCTTCTCTCACTGTATAGAAAAATATTTGATCAACAAGCATCATCTCTGTCAACCAAGGATGAAAGGGAGGATGAGAGATTCAAAAAGAGTTCAGACGCACATAGAGGAATGTTTCCAGCAGTTCCTAGAAATGATGTCGTGTCAGTTAACGACAATTCCACTGATAATGCAAGTCATCTTACTTCACTAACCAAGGAATTCAATGACACTTGGGGACTGGAAAAACTGTTAGATTCCAGCATTCATCGATGTCATTCCTCAATATCTCAGCGGTCTATTGGAACTTCTCCTCCAACGCGATCTATAGCCAGAGCCATAGACTCGTACCATTCTCTCCCACTGTCAATGCTGGAGGTAACTTGATTGATTTGAAGTGTTCCTAGCAATCACTCCTGCAAAGTTTCTTCAACAACTGAACTTTGGTAAAAATTAGTAACTTTTTGAAAATTCTGTTCTCTTTCGTTTTCTTTTCAGCAAGCTTCGAATGATACTTCAAATGCAACCAGTCTAGCAGATCATCTTGGAACCTCTATTCGCTATGGTGTAGTAGAGACGCCGAACTGGCTTTCTGAGGAGATGATCAGGAGGATCTCAGCCATATATTGTGAACTTGCAGACCCACCTTTGATCAATCCTGATTATTCTTCCTCACGTATTTCAGTCTCTTCATCACCAAACGAGTTTCCATCACAAGGCCATGGTGATATATGGAGCCCCCGGTATGGGAACTTTTCATCCTTCAACTCATCAATTGACAATCCTTTCCACATTGGAGCCTCCAAGGAATTCAGTGGACCATACTGCTCAATGGCCAAGGTCCAACACATTTGTAGAGATAGTCAAAAGCTGAGAGATATTCAACATAAGCTGCAAGATTTTAGGTGAGTTCAGTGACCATAGCTGACAAAATGCACTATGCACCATATGGTCTAATGCTACTGTTGGTTAATCCTGTTTCAGGTCACTTGTCTCTCAGCTAGAAGGGGTTAATCCTAGGAAGATGAAACACGAGGAAAAACTAGCGTTTTGGATCAATGTGCACAATGCACTTGTGATGCACGTGAGGTTCTAAAGCTCATTATATATCCTCAAGATTCTACTCTGTTTTGTTCCTTTTTGCAGTTTTACTTCTAGTCTCCGAGCTAATGCATTACATTGCATTATGTTGCCCAACAGGCATATTTAGTAAATGGCATTCCACTAAATAACATGAAAAGGATGTCCTCAATACTCAAGGTGAGAAAAACTTTATCGCTCATCTTCAAGAAGAAAGCCTGTGTAACACCATTTAAAAGCTGTTGTATGTTTCAGGCAGCATACAATGTTGGGGGTCATACAGTTAATGTAGACATGATACAGAGTTCTATTCTGGGATGTCGGCTTCTCCGTCCAGGACAGGTAAATATGCTTCTCTGAAACTTCTATTTAACAACATTGCCTGCTAGTATGGTTTAGTTTCAGTTTTAACTAAGGTTTCCTAATAATGATGGAATATATCTGGATGCAGTGGCTATGGCAGCTATTTTCTTCTAAGACAAAATTCAAGGTTGGAGATGGAAGGAAAGCTTATTCTATTGATCATCCTGAACCTCGCTTGTATTTTGCACTTTGTGCAGGAAGCTATTCTGATCCTGCGGTATGTTCCATTATTCATGATTTGTATGCCGGCTGATGCTCCTCATTGAAGCAATGAATTGCGATTGTTCAGGTTCGAGTATATACTCCTAAGCGAGTGTTTGAGGATCTGGAAGCTGCAAAGGAAGAATACATCCAATCAACATTCATTGTACATAAAGAAAAGAAACTTCATATACCAAAGATTGTGGAGTCCTTCGCCAAGGATTTGGAACTTTGCCCTGCCGCTTTGATGGAAATGATAGAGCATTTACTGCCTAATTGTTTGCGGAAAAGAATTCAGGAGTGTCGGCACAGAAAATTTGGCAAGAACATCGAGTGGATTCCTCACAACTTCACGTTTCGCTATCTGCTTTCCAAGGAATTAGCCTAGTTACCTCATTACCTCAGCATGGGCGGGAGTGTTTGCAATATAATGTGGAAACGACAGAAGAATCATAACTGAAATTCATGGTCAACTAGGCAGTACCAAGTTGATTTAGACACCATATTGAAGTATCTATCTTAGAAGAATGATGATCAAATGGGCTTTATGATCAGAAAAATATTCCAACTGCTTGAGCTTATATGATCAACAATCTTCTTAGATCAGCATTGTTGTGATTTGGCTGTCATTCCCCTTCTCTTGTCTACAAAATCCATGATGATGGCATGATGCAAAGGAAGCAAAAGTTGATAGTATGGTTGTTACTACCTTGTGTAATATTTATCCATATTGCGTAACATTTTGTGAAAGGAATGTCTCAGCAAAATTTAATATTATCAACAGGAAGTATCTAGATAGTATTTCACGTGATAACTTCTTCACCATCTTTTATCTACACTTGATTTCTTTTCTTCTCTTTTTCTCCAACTTGACATGTTTATGTTAATTTTTTAAAATATTTTATATTTGAAAATGTATTAAAATAATATTTTTATTTTATTTTTAAAAATTTTATTTTTGATAGTGGATCAATCTCTGCTTCAAACGGTGGCTGAACCCCAGCAAACAGTGTCTGTTCTCTTTTTGACCAAGTGGAAAAGAACCAAAAAGAGGGAAGAAAAATTAAACACAATCTGACCTTTCTTGCTAGCCTTATCTGAGAGAGATAAGCTATCTCCCAACAAATATGAAGGAAAGGTTTCAAAAGTCAGAAAGTATGGGTGGGTGGGATTTTCCAAATTCATGGTCAACACTACGAATGCGCTGCTTCCAGTACTTGCCCTAGGATGTCAATAGAATCAAACATGGTGGAAACAGAACTATAAGATTTTTTTGTGAGTTAAATAAATTGAAAAAACAAAAAGGGCACAGAAACCTTGCTCCCGTGTCACATGTGCACGGTGCACCACCTGTCCATGGCAGGGCACCTTTTCCCTCAGCCACACAAAGCATCTTTTCTTGCTCCCTTTTCTTTGATGCTATGTGCTCTACATATCCTTTCCTTTCCTCTCCAAATAATTTTTTTTATTAAATATATCAATTTAAATGTAAACAATTTATTTAAAAGCTAAAAAACTCAGTTATCATACGGAAGAGATGGCAAAAAATAGATTCATTTTATAAAAAACATTATTATAATTTTACCAATTTATATATAAATAATTTATTTAAAACATAAGAAAACTCAATTTTCATACAGGGGAGTTGGCCAAAAATAGCTAGTTAAAAGAAAAGTCAATACATAGATCTATGGTAAGATTTGAATCTCGCAAATCATGTTAAAAACTTTCTAAGACTTTTTATTACTATTATAAAGTCGAAGATTTATTTTTTTTCGTGAATGAAATGCATGGTCATATATATATGTGTGTGTGCGTGGATTTCGAGAAAACAAATTCTTCACGTTAAATTCTTATACAAATTGAAGTGTTAATTTATGAATGTAAAATATAAGCTGTATGAACCATTTATAAAAATTGTTTCTGGATAATACATATATATGTGTGTGTGTGTGTGTGTGTGTGTGTGTGTGTGTGAAGATGTTCGTGACATGAAATTTGTTTACTTCGGTCTTGTCTTGCACTAGTGGAAAGCAAAAGAAAAGAAAGAGAAACAGGGATCTATCTCTTCAGAAAGCACCAGGATCACTTGCGCAACGCAGAATGGCCCAAACCCAGCACCCCTTTTTGGCGCTTCTGCCACATATAACAAAACCCTTGAAAAATAAAATATCACCTACAAACCCCGAGCTTCTTTACTCTTTTCAGTGCCAACAAAACCCACGTAGAGAAAACAAAAATGGAAGATGAGGGAATTGAAGCAGTGTTGGCTAAAGCTACAGACTTGAGATTAAAAATCAGTAATTGCATTCAGAAAGCAACCACCAACAACATTTCCAACAGCATAAAGAATCAATCTTTTGAAGAAGATAAGCAAGAGAGTGACGGTCTTGAAGAGAAAGGGGAGAAGAGAAAGAGTCATAATAATTCGGAGTTTCTTGATGGGGTTTTATTGAGTGAAGCAGAGGAAGGAGATGATGATGAGACCGTGAGGCTTTTGCATATCCGTGATGCTCTTGAGTCCCTTGAGAACCAGCTCTCTAACTTGCAGGTTTCTTTTCATTTTCTATGATTCCAATTTCTCTGTTCTTGTTAAAGTTAGGGTTTTGGCTTTTTACGCCAAAACACCAACCTTGTTGACAATAAGAGTGTTTTTAAGAAGAATATAAAATACCCATTTGTTTGTTTTTGATGAATAATGGATGAGACGTATAAATTGGGTTTTAGGTTCATTGTGGAGACCATATTTTGAAGTTTATGTCTTGTGCCCAAAGGCAAAAGCTTGAGCATGAATGGGAGTGGGTGAGAGGATTTGGTTTCTAAGGTTTGGGTTGATTTATTGTATTTTTCATATCTTTTGGCTTTGGAATCAGCTTTTCTTGCAAAATTGCTGTGACGAACTTATCATGTGATTGCTACTCATCAATTGGAAGCTGGGAAATTTTGTGCACATGAAAGCAGAGATAGAATTATTTTTATCATCTTGGATTGATGTTAACATTTTCAATTTTTTCCTACTTCATCATACAAATTATGATTTACTGAGACTGAAAAAAGCTATTCCATGTCATGCAACTAATTGTTTGAACGCCGTAGTTCTCTTGAAACTATGTTGAAAGTACTTGAGTTTGTCTTTGCTATAGTCCTGATGTAAATCATTTGACCAGTACCTACTATTCAAGATTGTAAAATGCTAAAGATTACTTACTGAATTCTTACTAGTGTTTACAAGTTGCTACAGCTGTGAAATATCATACACTAACCACAATGATTTCATTGTTCCTGTATGTTTGTAGTGGATTTCCTTGCTAATGACAAGGACTGTGACATATCACACACTAACCACAATGATTTCATTGTTTCTGTATGTTTGTAGTGGATTTCCTTACCAATGACAAGGAGATGGATTTGTTTTAAAATTGATTTTGTTGGCAGCAAAGAAAACTTTAGTTACTACTTGAATACTTTCTGCGAGGTCTTGATGAGTATTCGATTTCAGATCTACTGAGGCATGGATGCCTTGCGTCTAATTTGATGTGGTGACTTGTAAACATGGACAGGGGTGTGAATTATGTGTGGGTTTTAGTCCTTCACTAGAATGTGCTCTATCTTCACAGGGTTTTTGCTGCACATATTACGAACTAATAAAAGGACAGGGTATAAAATTTTGAAGGGGGTGTCAGGCTCACACAAACAATGATGTTTTAGAATACTTGTATGATCTGATAAATCAGTTTTGTTCATTTCTGTTCTGTGAGCCTAAGAAAATCTTTTGTTTCATGAACTGCTCTCACTTGACATCCTATCAATGTTCTCTCCATCTTGCTTTGAAATGGGATATTCCAATCATATTTTGCACTCTTTAACTTTTCAGCTTACATACATTCTCTTCTTTTTGTTTCTTTAATGTAATTTCCTTCGTCATGTGTGCATGCACTTGTGTGCTAGTGCGGGTGGAGATATTGTGGTGGCATGGAGAATATTGGTAGTATAAATAACTTGTGATTGACAATGAAGAGAATGAGGTAGTAAACTTTTTCAGTCCAAAGTTTAGTTGTATGATTTATGCATATGGGAATTATCCAAAATCAATAGGTAATACCTTTCTTTATTCAATAAAAGGACATGTATAGAGACAAACTTCTTTGAGATGCAATACATAATTGTTAGGAGCTCTTTAATTGTTTCCCTCTGGTGGCCAGGCTTTGCAGCAGCAGCAACGTTATGAAAAAGAAGTTGCCCTTGGTGAGATTGAACATAGCCGCAAGATATTATTGGATAAGCTTAAGGAGTACAAAGGGGAAGACTTGGAAGTAATAAAGGAAGCCTCTGCATTTGCTGGGGAAACTGTGGAGCATAATAATGATCTCTTGCTTCCTCCATATCCTAGCCGCTTTCCACAGTCCTTGATTTTAAACAATCACCATCTTTCGCACTTTCATTCCACACACAAGTCCAATGGGATAATAAATGGTGAAGCAAAGAGGTATCAGGACGAGTCAGAAAGCAATCAGGTACCAACTGCATCCAACTCAAGAAAAGGGTTGGGGCACATCATCAGTACAACAGCCAAGACTGTGATTAGCCTTGTTGGTGTAATATCAGTGTTAAGCTTGGCTGGTTTTGGACCTGGCATTGGAAAGAAAAATGTTACTCTCAAGGTTTTGGGCTTGTGTCGGCAACCAGCAGCTGATGAGAGGAAACAAAGTGTTCAATGCCCACCTGGGAGAATCCTGGTACGGCAACATGGGGAAGTTCGCTGCGTCGTGAAAGAAAGGGTGGCAGTTCCTTTTAATTCAGTGGTTGGAAAGCCTGATGTAAATTATGGAAGTGGATAGTTTCATAATTGGTGTCTTATCTTGACTCTCTTTCGAAAGTTTTGGTAGATTTATTGTCTATCTTTTTTACACTTCCATTCTTCATTATAGTGAATGAAGAGTTTGCTTCAATGACCTGTAGTATTCACGATACTCGCAAGTGGTGCGTATGCATGATCTTTATTGCAGTTGATAATTGGAAATCCTGTTTTCCAAATCTGAGAAGCCACGTTAGATCCTAAATAAAATTGGTTGCTTCACAAATTATACAAAACTTCCATTCGTTGCAGTCCTTGGCTTTTTCTTCATGTTGACATTAATTGTGATTATCAGGAGGGCTTGCTGTCGGCAGTTGACAGTGTATCGATTATGGTTTCTCTTTGAATGCCAATGTCTCCTTGACTGAACCCTGGAAACGTGAACAGCGGAAAGTTTTGGCCACTATTAACTATGGTTTCTCTTTGAAGGCCTCTCACAGGGGTCAGACTTGAATTGGTTCTGCGCATCTGGTGAGATACTAAGATTAATGTCAGCCCAAACTTTTTCAAGCATCTTCCGAAGGGGTTGAAGGTCTTGTTGAGCAGTTACAGATGCTACAAATTTTAACCCCCATATTATACACGTCCAGGCCTTTTCTCTGAGTCCAGATTCCTGTGCCAGCATGGGACATATCCAAAATAAAGCAGCAACTATGTGAGAGTCGCATCTTCAGTCACCAAGTCCAAATCATGGATGCCAGCTTTCAAGAAATACACTGTCCCAGGTCATGCATTGTACTAGAATGACCCCACCAGAGTAGAAAAATAATCTTGGCTCCACCACAACCTGAAAGGTTAAAATTTAAATTTCTGCACCCAAGGCAACGGCTCAGCGGTGGAATGGCGTTTTACGCCTTCTGCTGTCACAGATTCGAGTCTTGGAGTTGCATGCCTGTCAGCCCCGCGCTGCCTTACCTGCCTGCTGGGTTTGCAGGGTGTTCAGTGGGCCGTGGGGATTAGTCGTGGTGCGCGTAAGCTGGCCCGGACACCCCACGTAAATCAAAAAAAAAAAAAAATTAAATTTCTTTGGTTTCAGCCAAAGCCAGGTTTTTTTTTTTTTTAATAACAGAACCTAACTGATGAAGCTGCTTTCTATTCATCTATATGAGTGCTTCAAAGCTAACCGATTTCAGCTGTTTATCATTTCCTCCCAAGTTCTTCTTTGTCTCTGTTACTAAGTGTTCACCAGATGATGAGTCTCACTATCAGCACTCCTACTACAAGGGCTACTACGATCCTCTCTAATGGTTAGTATCTTTTGCTTTCCATCTCTCTCTCTCTCTTTTGACTTCTTTACCTAATTTTTTTTGGAAAAAACTGCAACTATAACTTACAGATACAGGCATCAATAAATGTGACATAAGAGATGTCTCTAAGCATTATGTAATACAAAAATCTGGTCCAAGATTCTTGCATCAGCAATCCATGGGAGTTATCATGGGTCAGGAGAGAGCAGTGGCGGAGACACAATGAAAATTAAGGGGGCAATTGCCCCCTTAATCCCTTTTTTTTTAATATTTTTTATTAAAATTTTAATATAATAACTTAATAATTTTAAATTTTTTTATTAACTACTAATTGATACAAGCTTTTCTTTTTTAATTATTTTTCATGCCTCTCTTCATTCTACAAAATTTCTTTTCAAGTTCTAAACTATTAATTAATTAAATAAATAACCTTTTATGTAAGTTTTTTTATTATTTTTATTTAGTTTTAATTTTATTTTTTAATAATTAGTTATTAAAAATATTAAAATTTATAATAATTTATGAATTTATTAAAGTAATTATAAATTTATTAAAATAATATGTGTATGGATAATATTATATGTATATGAATATGAATTGAAATGAGTTTTTATAAATTAATATATATTTTGTTATGAATTTTATATAAAAAAATAATGTTGATTAACTTAGTAGTAATTAAAAATAAATTAAAAATAAAAAATTGAACAATTTAAAAATTTAAAAATTTAGAGATACAATAAAAAAAAAATTAAAAATATATTAATATTTATATTTAACTCACTTATATAAAATAATAAGTCAATAAAAAATTATTGTCAATAATTTTAAAATATTTTTAATAAAATTAAAAATAAAGATTATAAAACAATTTAAAATATAAAAACTTGAAAAAAATAATTATAATGTAAAATTTTTTATTTTAAAAATATTTTTAAATTAATTTTATTTAACACATGTTTTTTAAATTTATTTTTTTATTAGTAATACATGTTTATATAATATATAATATTAAATATTTATTTGTAATTCGACCATCATTTAAATTTTTTTTAGCTCCACCACTGGGAGAGAGAGAGGCAGCACTCCACGGGCTTGAATGCAGAACTCCAAAATATTCCAGAAGTAGCGTCGTTTTTCTTTTTACCTTTTCCCTGGCTATATTTTCTTGGTTTTTGGTATTCATTGTATGATCTGGCTATATACAAAGATTTGGAAAGGAGTGTAAGATTAGAAGTTGGTGCATTTAGTGAAGAGCAACAGGCTCTGATGGTCAAATCATGGAATTCCATGAAGAACAATGCTGGAGAATGGGGCCTGAAGTTCTTCTGCGAACTTACTTTAATACCAAGCGGGTTTGGGATTTAATCTTGAGTATACGTTGAACGAGATAGTTTTTATTTGCAGAATCTTTGAGATTGCACCACTGCAAAGAAGCTGTTCTCATTTTTGAAAGATTCAGAAGTTCCTCTGGAGCAGAATCCAAAGCTTAAACCTCATGCCGTGACTGTCTTTGTTATGGTCAGTCTATTCGTTTCTCCTATCTACATAACTATTTCAATTACTTCCGTACTATATGCTTACTAGAAATATGGTAGTCGGGTAAGCAACATAGGCACTGCTAGGTTTTTAAAGGAACCACAGCTTGTGAAGAGCTCAGATTTGATGTCTTAACAAGCTATGGGATATATCACAAAAGGAAAAAAAGTTAAAAATGAAATTTCTGTTGGATTAAGCTAAAGTTGAAGGTAGAGAAACACAACACCTGGCTTGATTAGGATCTGGATAGATAGTTTGAAATAACTCATATAGATAACTTGGATGATGAAGATTCTGACAAAGAGAACTAGGCAGGCTATTGAGGCATGACAATTATGTGAGTTGGGTTTTTCATTTTCTCAAACCGGCCTAAAGAAAGAGTGCTAACTTCTCAAAAATTATTCCAAAACAGAATGAACATTGCTAGAAATAACTTGAAAGCAATCAATCGCCGATATAAACCATGTCTTGTGTAAGTGTGATCATTCTCTACTGTGTCCTGGTTAAGTACTCTGACTTAAACCATGTGCTATCCTGCTTGTTAACAATGTCTTTAGATAATTCCTTGGAACATAAATTCGAAGACCTAAATGCTAGAAGGAATAAAGAAATTCCGTATTTGGTCTGGGACTTCAACAATGGCAGTTTGATCCTGTAGGCAAGTCACTATTCATGAAAGGAGAATCCCAGGGCCAAGTCAAGTGCAGTATGAAATAGGAAACAAGTTGCATTTAAGTGCTTATTTCTTCTTGAGCTATCTTTGAAATAGTGAATGGATGGATTTTTTTATTGCAAGTGTTAGAATAACTAAGATTTAAGATGCCCGTTACAGACCTCTGAATCAGCAGCGCAACTCCGGAAGGCTGGCAAAGTCACTGTCAAAGAGTCCAGTCTGAAAGATTTAGGAGCTACTCATTTGAAATACGGGTTTGTCGATGAACATTTTGAGGTAACAATGCAATTAATAATTAACTGTTATGTTGAAATTAAGTTATCAATCTATTCATTAACCAACCCTAATAAATTCAGGAACATCCTCTTTACTTAAGCAGCAGAACATGATTTGCTTAACTAATTATCCACAGAATTCATAGGGAGAAGCTTATGACCTGCTGGTTGCTGGTATAGAAAAATGAAATGAAGTCCCCTTCACAGACTCCTTGAGCAAGACATTGGGAGGGAGACATTATATCTGATGAATTAAGCTTGAATTTTTGTCATAAAAATGTTCAAGTAGGGTTCTTTGATCATTCTGTATTAGTTATTGAATAAAAAGGTGAACCAAGAATGTATCAGAATTGGTCATTCTTTTCTGTTAATGTTTTAGCTATCAGAAGAGGTCATTTTTCACTCTGCGTATCTAATTCTGCTGTACTGTTTTCTTTGAATAACATGGTGAACGAAGAAGCTATCAGAATAGGTCATTTTTTCGTGATGTTTTTCCTGTCTCAAACCCCGTTGTAGCTTGTTCTTCTTCCAAATGCCATAGTTGCTGATGACACTGCCATAGAAGTAATGCCGACTACACTGTTACAGTATTTGAAAATGTTGCCAATGAGCATGTAGCTCAACCGTCCGGCATCCATGTCCCATCTACCTTGTAACCAAAATCCAAAAAAGAAAGTGTGAGAAAATGCAACCGTTGGATTTCACATCAATATATGCTCCCCAAATTTGAACGGAATTTACAGATGGTTCAAATCCTAAAGAGAGATTGATATACAAATTATTATAATTTGAAAGTCAACTTTCACCATCAACACCCTTCACAAATATATGAGGGTAGCAAACACTGGAGAACCAGGTTCAGTAGTTTTGTGCACTGTATTTAAACAGAATCATAACTCTGTTTATTAAAATCAGCCTTCAAAACTGAAGAAAAAAGAGGGGGGGAAACTGAAAAATCAAGGGGGACAGCTGTTGAGCGAGTGTCTGTGGAGAATTTACTTATAGGATCTCCATTAACAATTGAAGAAAATTTCAAATTGAATAGTTGTATCCTGTCGAAGATATACTAGCCATTGGTCAATCCCATTACAATGCCAATCCAAATTGAATAATTAAAACCACGTCCGCCACAAACAACCTGGCCTGGCCCCTGGTTTTTGGACATTTGGTTTGCTGGTAACTTTTGTGAATTATTATTATAGTCCAACAAAATGGCTTTCCAAAGCCACGAAGAGTCAATCTCATCTTCTCTGAATTTGGCTATATAAATGAAAAGCTATCCAAGATGGGCTCAGAACACCAATCCCATTTTTATAAAATCACCAACCTGTCACATTCTAAAACACCGGGCCACTATGTGTTCCTCGGAGTTCAAGGGTTTCACAGAAGAACAAGAAGCTCTTGTTGTGAAGTCATGGAGTGCAATGAAGAAGAATGCTTCAGAATTGGGTCTTAAATTCTTCTTGAAGTAAGCCAGTCTTGTCCTTTTAATATCCTCCTGTGCACCAACAAGTTCAGGTTCAACACTGCATTTTCCAAATGTTATAGTACAAGTTGTTTACTGTTGCATTAATTGATGTTTGCAGGATATTTGAAATTGCTCCATCAGCACAGAAACTGTTCCCATTCCTGAGAGACTCAAGCGTTCCTGTCGAGCAGAATCCAAAACTCAAGCCCCATGCCATGTCTGTCTTTATCATGGTAGAAACCCACCTTTTATATTCTGTTGATACTTTGTCCATCACCAAGTTCCATGGGTTCATTGCCTCCAAAATCTTACACTAAAATATCCTGTACCGTGTGATATTGCAGACTTGTGAATCTGCTGTGCAGCTAAGGAAAGCTGGGAAAGTAACAGTGAGAGAGTCCAGCTTGAAAAAATTAGGAGCTGTCCACTTCAAATATGGTGTGGTTGATGAACATTATGAGGTATAATTGTTAATAATCAACCTGTGATCAAATTAAAACTAATTAGCAATATAATTCAAATAAAACAAAAAACACTTTATTTTTGTTTTGGGAACAAATCTGCCCATTTTAAGAACTAAACTAGTGTGCATACACCCTGTTTTATTCAACTTTGCCTATGTAAATGTTGCACAGGTAACAAAGTTTGCCTTATTGGAGACAATTAAGGAAGCTGTACCTGAAATGTGGTCACCAGATATGAAGAAAGCATGGGGAGAGGCTTACGATCAGCTAGTTGCTGCTATCAAGACAGAAATGAAGCCCCCTTCCTAGGTTTCTTGAATGAATTAAACTTTGCAAAATTAAGCATGTGTGTTATGCTAATCTTTGTTTACTAATCCGGGTGTCTGGGAATGTTTGCTCATCATGTATTTACTAGAGTTTGGCCCGCGCTCGGCAGCGGGTATGTTTGAATAAAACTTATCATATTTTCATAATCGTGTGAAGAATCCACGAAGCTATATATCAATTCAATTATACAGATGTTGTGATTTTTTAACAAATATAAAATCCCTCCTCAAAAAAAAAAAAAAAAAAAAAAACCAATTTCAGTCACAAAAGGACTTTTTTTTTTCCTTTTCATTTGACCACGTTGTGCTTGTAATTTAAACAAATTTTAATATAATTTTTAAAAATATAAGTGTTTGGAAAAAAAAAACTTCCTTTAAAAAAAGCAGATATAATATCTTGAAAAAAAAAACCAGCTAAAAGCTTATTATAAGAAAATCATGTCTTCGTCTGCTTCTAAATCCAAATTACTATGGAGGTTTAATAACCTGCAAGTAGCTAGCTAATGCCAAAATCTCCTCTGATCTTTCTCTTCGATGTGATAATTCTTACAAAGATATTTCAAAACAAAAAATCAAAAGTGGGCCCAAATTATTTGTTTAATCTAGTCAATCCAATCCTTAACTTAAAAAATATTATTTTAATAAAAATAAAGTATTTTGTCCGCTTATTACAAAGTTTTAGATTCAAAGAAGCAGTGCCATGCTAGCTATTTCTTAGCAGCTTCTCGGAGGCACCTAATAATCTTTCTACACGAGTTGTTATCACTATTTTTGAACAATATCCTCCATGACAGTGATTTATAATGTTTGGTAATGAATTAACGTACAAAAGATCTGTTAATTTTTTTTTAGATATTGTTTGTTTTTGTGCTTTAAAAAAATAAAAATATTTTACAAAAATTCAGCTGGAGATAGCTCAATTGATGGGCCTCAAAATTAATATTATGATTTAAGGGAGCCTTAACATCACCCCCACAAATCCCATGAACTAATCTGGAAAGTAAGAGCATTAGATTCTTATATTAAAAAGCATGTACAATCTTACAAATAGAGCGCAAGGGAGGCCAAAAGACAAGGCTCCTGCTGTATTTTATCCCTCCAAAGCTTCAACAACTATTTCATTGCTTTAGATGCATCTAAAGGAGGGCTGATCTTGCATTACAATTAATCTAGCTATAGAAGGTGGAGGAAACCCTATCGTACGCCATTAATCACGTTTTTCTACACTCTGAAATCGATGGAAGAAACAAAAAAGTTCATTTCATTATTGTTTCTGTGGTTTTAATAACCAATTCGCGGATTGGGTCAGTGCAAGCGGAATCTTACAGCGCCATTCATCAGTGGCCAGGATTTTTGGGTCACTTCTATCCGAATACGGCAATATTGTTTTGTTCGGCGTAAAACCCATGTTGTCCGGCGTAAAGCCCATGGTGTCCGACTGAGCAAGAGAAGCACTAGCTTTGCTAGCAAGTGCACATAATTCTTGTAAGGATAACGGGACATTTGACTTGGATAGTGGCACGAGGAAATAAAGTTGACCCAATTGTAGTTCCTCGTCATCTGGCACTTGAGGTAGGTGACAATCAATGTACATGGATTCTGAACTGCAGAGAAAGCTTTTGGGGTTCAGGGAGAGTATATGGCTGGCTTTGACTGGTTGCCTGAATTCTTGTAGCCTTCCATCTACGTGAATGATTTGGGCTGTGGATGGCCAGTTCAGACCACCACCACGACCAACCTTTTTTTTGTATTGAGGTGATGCACAATTGCCCATCTTCTAAAGAGAGGGGAAGAATTTTTTTTGTTTTTAAAACTGAAGAGAGAGTAGAGTGATGAATTGGGTTGTTCATGGAAGGAATCAACAAGTGATTAATTTATACAGGGAGGGAAAAGGCATGGGCGAGAATATTATAAGGTCAAGAATATTGACCCAACAAAAGTGATTTAAACAGGAGAAGTATCAACTAAAAATCTTTAACGCGTGGAGGATTACATGGAACTTTAAATAATTAGTTCACAATGCTTTTTTTTCTTATTGGATCAAATTATAAACTTATTTATAGGGGAAAGGTGAGATTGAAAGATGAAAAACTAAAATATATAAAAAAACATGGAAAGAAAGGATGATTTTAAAAATTTTAGATGAAATGTTAATTGTAATCGTCTTACTTTTTAAATTATAAATACGAGATTTCTTTAATTTTTAAAATCTAAGAATAAAATCAATTTTGATCTAATTTTTTTTTTTATTTCTTGGCTTTTGATTTGAGAGAAACTCGCATATAAAGAGAGATTTCTTGTTAGCATCAATTCCAATAACAAAAACAATTGAAATTGATGTTAAATTGTTTTGTTTAACGATAAAAGTTCATATTAGATTTTTTTTTCTTAAAATTGCTTAGAAAAATAAATCTAAGCTTGATAAAATATTTTATTTCGAGTTGATTTCAGGTTTTGTGATGATTTTTTAGGTTTTCTAGAGCATGAACGAGTTTATCAAGTTGTTCATGATGCTTTCTAGGTATTTTAAATAAAAAATAAATTAAAAATTTATTTTTTAAGTCGAAAAAACTTTTGTCCTATTTTTTTGGCTACTACAATGGCTAAAGACTAGGTAATATTAAATGATAAATTGTCTATTTTAAAAAAAAATCAAATCAAACAACATGTCATTCATTCTATAAAAAATTTAAAGACTTAAACATACGAGTTTACTCTTACAAGCCCATACATGGCCCTTACTAAACAGGTCACACATGCTGCTTAACTTGTCAAGCTTAGTAGCGCTTGTTTTTGTTAAAAAAATATTTTTTAATTAATTTTTTTATATGTATTTTTTCAAAATAATTTTTAAATTTATATGTCAATTAATAATCAATCTTTGTTTTATTATGTTTATCTAGAATTTTTGAATAACAGTTATTTTATATGCATTTGATGTTTTGAGAAATTGTTCTAATTTATCTATAATTTTTTTAATTTTTGTATAAATAAGATTTATTTGAAAAAATTAAAAATATTTATTTTTGAATAATATTTTTAATATATGTAACCTTGTCTAATGTTTTTTTTATTTTTATATTTAATTAATTTCATGTGTCTATTTTTATTATTATTTAATTAAATAAAAAATTAATTTTTGTGAGTAAGGTCATTAGACACAACCATGTCCAAGATCCAAGTTACAAGGCTGAATATGAATCTTAATTTTGTTTAATTTTAATTTTAATTTATTGTTAATTTTTATTTAGTTATTGATTACCAATTAATTAATTTTATTAGATGTATACATAAGTTTCTTTATTTTTATTTTTGATTTTTTTTACAAGAAAGACGTTAAAAATATATTAAAAAAACTATATATTTATTAAAAATACAAAATCTGACTCGTTACAAAATAGCGGTGAAATAGCTAGTAATGAATAAAATGTGAGCCACTATATTTTGATATGATTAATTAGCATAAGAAACAACGGCGCTGTGTGGCTGCCAAACAGTTATGACACGGCGTTGTGTGGCTACCAAGAAGAGATCTGCCCACATTTGCAGGGTTTATATATATTCATCGCTAGGATCTTGAAGTATCACGTAGTTTATAATTCAATCTTGATATTGCAAGATTAAATTGAGAGGGGTGAAAAAAAATTAAAAAAAAGGGATTAAATTGAGAAAATAAAAAAATAAAAAAAACCAAATTATAAAAAAATAAATAAAAATATTAAAAAAATATTTGGTTCAATTCAATTTTATAAGTTTAAAACTAAAAAATCTCAACTGAACTGCTTTAGTTAAAAATATAAATTAACCAAATCAAAAAAAATTAAATTGAATAAAAAACAAACCCATCATAAAACATATTACAAAGTCTAAAAAATCACAAAAAAAATATAATTTTATATTTTTAATATAAAATAACTGAATCGAACCGAATAAAATATAATAGGTTGAATTTTAGTTTTTAATATAAAATAATTGAATCAAATATAATTAAAATTGATTGATTGAAATTAGTTTCAGTTCAATTCTAGTCTTATTTTTTATATTTTATAAAATTTTAATTTTATTATTTTTATAAATAAAAATCAAACCTAACAAAAAATAATAATAAGAACGTACCCCTTCATCATCAATTTCAACATCTAAGAGATTAATATGATTCGATGTTTATGGACCTTCAATCGAGCTTTCACAGTGGCAGTTCACATCACTCTCAACGCGGTTACTCGGCCGAAGTGATCATTAAGGGTATGGAAGGTTTCCCTCTTGGAAGCCTCGAGGTAAGGGGAAAAGGAACAATAATTTATAGGAACTATTTCTTATCTCAAGACTCTGTGGTGCTTAGACTGACTTGACTTATCCTCCTTTCACATTTCTTTACTGTTCTTGGGACCGTAGCCTTGGCGTTTTCCGGCTCAATTACTAGCCATCTGAGGCAAAATGTCCATTTCCCATCTATAAATGTCACCTTCATTCTTTTATCATACATGCGGGACCATTCTCCGTTTGTCTACGCTCTATCTGTGCCTGCTAATTTAAACATGACCATTCAAGTGCTTGTTAATGACAGACAGATGAAAGAGTTTCCTTAACCACCATCCGCACTGTTATAGTTTAATTGATTGGGTATTAAATTTATTATGTAATAATTATAAATTTGAGTTCTTTTAAAATTATTAAAAATATATATAGCTGTTAATCTTAAAAAATTATTTGAAATTATTAACCGCTTGCTAATGCTTAAAATTAGTATATTAATTAGTAGAAGACAGTTGGTATTTTTCTTAGGAGTAATTGTGATAGAATGTGCCAATTATGTATAACAAAATTTACATATTGCAGCTTGTCTAGACCATGAACATATATACTGATATTATGGCTTTGGTATCCAACCAATTCACCTATCATATCTAAGACTCAAGGAAACTTCTTGTTTTATTTGTTTTACAACTCACAGATTAATATTGTTTGAGACTTCTATAAAAGGTTCCCAGGACTTGATTCGTGTGATAATGTTAAGCATGGAATTGTGTTGAACTTCCAGAATTCGAACCAGCATATTTGACAGCCTGACCATTGGTTCTATTGGAGGACACTAAAGGGCCGGTTGTTTTATATTATGGTATTCGGGAGCACATTTATTTGGTTTGAATTTCAAAATATGCTTATATAAATGATGATATTTCAAAATATTTAAATAGCTTGGATACAGGATTTATGTGTTGAAAAACCAATTAATTTATTGATTTATTTTTTTTATCAAGCTAGGTGGTAGTTGATATATAGTGATTGGTAGGTTAAAATGGTTGATGTGAGTAAAAAGTTTCATTTAATAAATTTTTGAAAACTCTCATATGCATAAATAAATAATTTTTTAGAGATATAAAATAATGATATTTAAAAAAAAAGATATTCTGAATATATATAGAGAGAATAAATATTATAAACCAAGAGTTTGAAGAATTTATAATATGTTTATAGCATACAAGTATTTTATTTTATAAAGGTGAAGAGATAAATTGTAATTTTATCCTAATCATTATAATAATAAAAAATATTTTTAAAATATATATTAATAAGAGATAAATATCTTTTAAAATATTTATTTATAAAAATCTTACAAACAACAACACGGTAATTTCTGATAATTTTTCTATAAATATTTTAAAAAATTATCTTGAAGTTTCATTATATTGAAATATTGAAGTATTGGAAATTATATTGAAATATTGAAGTATTGGAAGTCATAAATAATTATGAGGCCAAGCATGAAGAGAAATAATATATGAAGAAACTATAAGTAGAATTCATAATAATAAAAAGTTTAACATCAAATATAGAATTTTCTTTAGTATAAATACATTATAAATTAAATTTTAAAGTTCATCATTCTATGACATGTTACTTTGTGAAAATATTAACGAAAATGCTATATTTAAAATACTTATTAACTTAAAAGCGGAAGAGTTTAATTCTAGATTAATAAATTGAGAGCGACTTTTTTAGAAATAGAGGGAATTGACCATTTTTAGCAGTACACGGAAACGCCTTGCCTTGCTGCCCGCTAGAGCAAGCATCATTGGCATAAAGAAGAAAGTGTAGTGTGTAATCTTCGATTGTTTTGCAAACCCGTCCCCTCATTTGACATGGAATTTCAAGATTTAGGTATCTACACTTCAAAGGAAACTTTCCTCTAAATTTATAGAATGTTGTATTCAGCACAGCCTGGTTAAGACTGATTAAGAGTGTATTTGGAATTATGATAATGATGGTAATTTAATTTTTTTTAATAAAAAATATTAGCACATTAAAACAATCTGAGAATATAAAAATATTATTTTAAATAAAAAAATTAAAAAAATATAATTTACACTTATTTGCAAACACGCACTCTTGAAATCAATGGTGTTGTCTATTAACATCTAAAAGAAAGCACTAAACCGACCGAGGAAAATGAGTTGAAGATATGTGCGCTTCTTCCAGGAAAAGACCTCGTCAACGACCACAATTGTTGCCGCGTTAATTATTTGGGTCATTGGGCGGTGATATTCACGTAGCGCATTTAAAAGACATAACTAGAGTTTCTTAAATAGATTATATCCTTGAATTATAGAAAAAAATCTCATATATTTTGAAAAGTTAATCATTTATAAAATTCTCTTGAAAATAATATATATATATATAAGCAAAAAACAACTATGAAAAATAATTAAAAACAAAAGAATAGAAAAATAAAAACATAAAAAATAGTATTTAAACCTCATTGTTGAATTTTAATTAGTTTAATCTAATAATCAAATTTAAAGTTATAAATGTTTTTGTTAAATTGTTTGTTTGACATGTTTAGATTTATATATATATATATATAGATTTTAACATGTATAATTAGTCTATAAACATATTCACGCTAAAAATAAAAAAAATAAAAGTTGGCAACAAAAGCTAAGAACCTGGTTTTTCCTAAATAACCGAATAGATTTGTGCATCTAGACTAAATATTTTATCCTAATTAGTTTATTTATTACTTCAGATGAATTGGGTGTTTATAAGTGTGGTAGTAATTATTTTTTAAAGTATTTTTTATTTAAAATATATTAATATATATATATATATATAAAAAAAATAATTTTTAATATTAGCATATCAAAATAATCTAAAAATTTAAATTTTAGAAAACACGATGTAAACCGTTACCAAAGTAGCCCTGTATATTAAGCGGTTAAAAGTCACAAAGTTGTCACAGCTTCTGAGGTTTATTTCATTCTTACTCTTATTATTATTATTATTATTATTATAAATGCACAATATATATTTACTTTATTATGTTACGGTGTTGCTTTGTAGAATATTAATATCACACCTCGTGATTCTCGTTTCTGGCCACTGTCGGACTAGTCTCATCACGAGTGCTCTTGCTGGTCCACTCGATCACAGGATCCAACCTCTTCATCCCACACCAACAACAATCTCCACCCCCATTACCCATCTTTAGAGCCAAACTTGCCTTCACGGCCAAGGCAGCCATCTGTTTAGTTCTAAGAGGATTGTTTAACCAACTTGATCGCAACACAAAGGTAAAGATGACCTAACTGGAGATATTCATTTTGCATATTCATCGACGTCCATATCATCTGCTTTGCATACAAAACTAGTAGGGTTTCTTTGTAGTATCTGTGAAACCATAATTGAGTACGAAAATTCTTCGAGTTTGCCATCTTCATCGATCAGGTTTGCTGCGACCACTGAGGTGGATTCACATGAACTGCAAGTATTGCCCATAGGTTGTTTTTCCTAGCTTGGACTTTCAATTTATGGTTGTTGTGCTCGTGAGGGTCAAGATTTAGGGGTGTTTGATTAGGATACTACCGTGTTTATCTGGGGATTATTTAATAAATAAATCTTAATTAAAGTGACTACCTGTGAATCCAATGGTTAATTATTTGGATGGTGTTATTTTCACTGCAATTTTTGTTATTCTTGCTCCATCATTTATTGCAAAGTCTGGAATAACTGTATTTAATATATTTTTGTATTTAATTAAAAATTTTGAAGTAACAAATTTTAAAATAGTCTTTCTCTATTAAAAAAGAAGAAGAAGAAGAGTAATGTATGTCTAATTTTTATGATTTTATTTTCTAAAAGTACAAGTTAAATAAAATATTTTTTCTTACTAGCTTAAAACTGTGGGTTGGTACGTAGATATGGTGAATCTTATGAATAACTGGATTTTTTTGGGTTCTAGTGTTCGATCACATACTGTAGATCATAAAATATTAATAATAATAACTTAGTATTGTTTTATGACGTAACGACTAGCTAAAGAGATATATTAGGAACTAAAAAGACGTCATTACAAATAAAAATAACGTATTATTAAATGAAATATACATGGTAAATTATAACAATTGAAGATAAAATAAAATACTTGAAATTTATGTTTTCTTATAGTCATTTTCTTCTTATTAACACATTCAAAGTAGCATGAAAAAGTTTATTTTAGAATCTAAAATTATAGAGGAATTAAGACGTATATTTAATATGTCATCACCTAGAAACATATATAAAAAAAATTACATGAAACTCAATAACTCTATTTTTAACCAATAAACACCCTCCAATTAGTCTAAAAATCCAAATTCAAATAAAAATTCTTTTTAGATCTTGATCTGCTTTTCTCGGCATCATTAAAAGTCAAAATCAAACTCTCCTTGCTAAAATGAATTTATTAATAACAAGATCAATTTTTTTTATTGTGAAATTAAATTAATCCAAAACTGTTTTCTCATCTCATTTTCATGATTCTCTCACTTTTGCAACTTATAGAAATTAAAAGTGAGGAAAATGAAATTTAAGATTGAAACACAAATATATAAAATTACAGGACACTAAATCTGAAAAATTAAGGAACTAGAATGAAATTTCACTGAATAGTGAAAATTCATAGATGATAATAATATTCAGGGTGGATTAATTAATTAAATTAAAAAAAAAAGTTGGGTTCACTCTTCATCGCGTTGCAATTCATGATAATGGACTTCAATCTTGACTCTTGTACAGCGAGCCACCCTCTCTCTTTACGGTGCCGTTTGTTTAAAACACAGTCGCAGCCGTTTGATAAAGAAAAAAATCAGTTTATTGTATATGGGTCTCACGTAACTTTTACATTTAAAACATAGTTAATGAAAAGCAGATAAATGCTACTTTTCATTCACTGTGCACGTTAATTGCACCAGTGCAATTAACATGAACAATGCAATTCACTTGCACTGTTCATACGGTTTTTATTTTTATTTTTTTTTCATTTAATTTTATTATATTTTTTTAAGTGTTAATTTCATTAATGTTTTTTAAATGTTAATTTTATTAATATTTTTCAAGTGTTAATTTTATTAATATTTTTTAATTTTATTAATATTTTTTTAAGTGTTAATTTTATTAATATTATTTAATTTTATTAATGTTTTTTAAGTGTTAATTTTATTAATATTATTTAATTTTATTAATGTTTTTTAAGTGTTAATTTTATTAATATTTTTTAATTTTATTAATTTTTTTTAAGTGTTAATTTTATTAATATTTTTTAAGTGTTAATTTTATTAATATTATTTAATTTTATTAATGTTTCTTAAGTGTTAATTTTATTAATTATAATACCAAACACACTCTACATCGCAAATTGAAACCACAACCCATATGGAAGCATCCCTTATTTAAGCCTAGCTTGGTCTTGTTCTGGGCCTGTAGTGGACTGGAGGGGAAAAAATAAGCCGAACAGCTCGATTACCAAACATTTTAGTCTTGTTCTCTACAATTTCTCAACATTAAATCTATAAACATCAGCAGAAGAAATAGCCCACGAGAAAATAAAGATGAGACAGTATTTATTCACATAAGAGGGACATGGATCCTTTATCCATATTACCGGACTTGTACATTTTCTACTGCAGGGTCTACCGGAAAAACATAATAATCTAAGCATAACATATGCTTACATCAAGCTTTTGAAATCATTGTACCAATCACCCCTGCTAGAACAGTTGTTGGGTCGCCCAGTACCGCCGATATAACAAACTGGAGGGCCAATCCAGCCATCTCCAAACCTTTCCTGGCCTTACTTTTGCTCTTGTTATGAGTAAGGAGTGTATTTTTCAAGCTAGGAATCCTCGTATCAAATTTCCTTGCACTCTTTTCACCCAAGTACCCTTGCCAATTCTCCACGAGCATGTCCTTAACACATGCCACATGCAAATTGTATTTCTTGCATGAAGATCTGTAACTCCAACTCCTGCCTTTACGTCCACATTTTTGACATGATGCACTCACCTTCTTGTACAGATATAGCTTAATTTCTCCATCGTCAAGAACCATAGGCAACTTTGCACAACAAGGATGAAGATCAAATCCACAGTCTTTGCAATGGTAAAGGAAGCCCGTGACCTCCCTTTCGCACGCGTTACAAAGGCGAGGCTTGTCACCAGGAGGTCTGAATAAGAATTGGAAGGAACATTTGGTGTAGAAAGAGTGGGAGAATGCGGGAGAGGAGATGGCACATTGCATATGGAGATCAAAATCACACATGGTGCATTTGTAACGCGATCCAATCCCAACTTCCTTGCAGCCATCACACTTGAATGGGAATTCTGAGTGCTCAGATCTCAGCCTGTGTTGAGGGTGGCTATCGTGAGTTATCTCACTGTATTTCATGGTTTTTTTTTTTTTTGTATTTTTTTGCTGCGTCTAACAATTTACCTAAGCAGGCATTATATAGGGCTAAAAATGATGGGTTTCTGATAGAGAGATTATTAGAGGTCAAATATCTATATAGAGACTGTGCTTGAGGATTTCAAATTTGAATTGTGTGTTTTTTGGCTTATAATTGACGCAAGGAATTATGCTTAGTGATATGGTGATGGGGGCACATGAGGATGCATAAGAATCACCATTTCAAGAAGGGCAAGGGCGTACAAGGCACCTATTAGAGCATTTAGGCATATATTTAGATGATGTCCCACTGAAGAATATATACGAATTTTCAGTACTTTCCACGTCTATTTTGTCCCAATCCACCAACACTGAAGCTTATCAAAGATTAGAAATCCAGCAAGTAAGGTTCTGGCCTAGCGGTGGGAGGGGCTTATTCCCTTTCTCCGTACCTGGATTCGAACCTCACCATGCACGCCTGTCACCCCCACGGTGCCTTACCTACTCACTGGGCTTGCAAGATGTTCAGTGGGCCGTGGGGATTAGTCGTGGTGCGCGTAAGCTGGCCCGGATACCCTACGTAAATAAAAAAAAAGATTAGAAATCCAAAAATATAGTAATTTCAGAAAACATTGAACAACGTGTTCCAACCGATAAATCTTTGACATGACATCTAACAACTTGGAACTTTGATCTTGATGCAGGTAAATTAGGTATAGAATGAAGGGATTAGGTCCAGTCCGCATATCTTGAGAGGGATCACGCACATACTAAGAAACCTGGGAAATTCCACGAGAATAAGAATTTAGCATCTAAAAAAGTTGATTAGACGAGATTACCAAAATAACTCAGCAAAGATTCTGCAATAATTTAACTTTCATCACTAGTAGAGCATCCAAAGTTTATGGCATTAATTAAATTATATATGACCTAATTTTCTAAAGACTAAAGACAGAATTCGAATGATACTATTCAAAGATGTTCATTAATGCTAATCAAACATATGGAAGAATGAAAGCATGTGGCCTTAAGATGTATCTATCATTTAGAAGATGATTAAGATCTTGAATTATATCTACATTTATCACTCTGTCGATAGAAATGTTGACATAGGAGAACAAATTCCTGTTCTAGTAATGTTATGGTCTAACCTTCAAACTGTTCATGTATTTGATAGCAACTTTTGCAACATGCATGTATAATATTGATAATACATATTTTATCCATAAATATGACTGTCTCTTCGGCTATACTTTGTCATCTTTCTTTCAAGGGAATTTATTCTTAGTTATTTGATTACGCATGGTATTGTGCAGATTCAAGACTTTGCGGCTAAGAATGAATATAAATTATTGAGTTTTTTTAGTTCAATAAACTTGGTAAAGCATCATCATCGAAGATACAACTAAAGGATCACAGCACTCAACAGTGACAGGTCAATGTTAGATGATCAGAACCACTACAAGAAAGAAATAATTGTGATGTCTCATGCACCGAGGGCTTGGCCTAGCGGTGAAAGGGGTTTGTCTTCTTTTACTGTACATGAGTTCGAGTCCTGACGTGCATGTCTGTCACCCCTACAATGCCTTACCTGTTTGCTAGGTTTACAGAGTATTCAGTGGGCCATGGAGATTAGTTGTGATGCGCGCAAACTGACCTGGACATCCCATATAAATCAAAAAAAAAAAATTGTGATGTCTCATGATGCCAAGACTCTCTCAGCAGCCTTCTTTTATTCTTTTGTTTCTTCCATTAGTGAATAAGGGCATAAATGCAATTGATTCTGGAAGGAATTGTTCAGAGCCAGTTGCTTTTTGTGATCGTACTAGCAAGAATTTGAGAGGGAACAACAATGAAAATGACTCGTTCATCGTCCAAAAGCATTTTTATTCCAGTTTCAGATGGATATGGTGTGTGTGTGTACTGTACACACACTTACCTGTATACATTAATCCCTTTCTGATATTCAAAATTGCTCCAAAATCTTCTTTTCCAGAGGTTCTAGTTCAAGTTTTAGATTGTTTTGGACTCCTTTCTGTAGGATACTTCGTGTTGGTCATTGTCTTAAGTAACTAGATTGGTATTTCTGATGGTAAAGAATTCATATGTTGTTTGCAGAGGCCCTTGGTGTCATTCTTGCACCCCCCCTTAAGATTCCATTAGTGATCATAATTTCTACAACTTTTAATCTTAATTTTCTGTTTGAGAAAATGACCTCATGTTACTTGAAACACTGTCAAGTGAATTTATTAATCATCCAGTTTCTATTATTCTTATATATAGTTCGAGATTTTTGAAGGTTAATAAAGGGTAAATTCATCAACGGATTCAACCAACACCTCAATGGCTAAGTGTTCATTTCTTCTCATCTCGACTTATTGTTAGATGATAATTAGAGAAAAAATAATAATTACAATATATAAAAATAATATACTAATATTATCAAATCAGACTCAATTTAGCATGTTAATCTAAATGAATTGCTGACTTAATCATTAATTTGAACTATATTTTTAATTAAATCAAGTTAAAATAATTTTAATATAATCTGATAAATTTGACTCATAATTTAATGAATGTAATTAAAATCTAATTTGATTTTTTAAATAAATTAAAACAATGTAATTTTAATTTTTAATTTTTAAAATATTAAAATATTATTAATTAAAATTTAATTAGTTAAATTTTAATTAACTCACTCCAGCTATAACTTAAATTAAAACATATCATACTCGAATATCATGACATGAATTTATAAAGTATTTAAAAATATAATATAGATTATTCTTTAAAATATATTAAAATAATAATTTTTTATTTTTAAAATTTTATTTTTTATATCATTAATTAAAATAATCTAAAATTACCACAAAAAAAAGTTAATTTAAAACCAAAAACAATTTACCAAACGGGTATTTAATAACTTTCCGATGTACCTTGTCAATCTTATATATTACGGAACATAAATCTTACCTTCAAAATTTAAAACTTGTTGGATTTGCGGCCCTTTAAAAAAAAAAAAAACAAATGAAAAGAAAAGAAAAAAAAACAGCTGGCTTTCAAGTTTCAACACAGCCTAGGGCAGTCGATGCTCTCCCTCCAATGCCACCAAAACTCCTGAAACGCCTCCTCCCCCTTCCACCTCCTCCACTGCCACCCCACTCTCGACCACCTCCACCACCCAGCCACCACTCCCCCTAATCTCCAGTTCTCCACCATCATTTCCCTCCTCACCTACAACCGTTCCAAATCCCACTAGTCCCGCCTCCGCTCTCTTCTCACCAACACCACCACACTCCTCAACCCTACCCGCTTTTCCCAAATCACCCTCCAGTTAAAATCAAATCTCCATCTTGCCCCCCGCTCCTTCCGCGTCACTCTCCACAACTCCTCCCTTTGCACACACAATCTCCACTCCTATCCCGCCATCATTTATATCCTCTCTCTTGCCCACCTTAAGTCCAAGGGCCGGGGCATTATTCGGTCCGGACTCCGGTCACTCGTTTTGTTAACTAATGATGAGGGTGCCTATGCGGGGCAGACAGGACTAGACAGGATGGAACTGAATTGTACAGGAAAAAGGTTGTCGCAGGTACCAAACGCTAAAAGAGGTGATTTTTTAAAAAAAGTTTTTGTGAAAACTTATAGAGAGTGTGATTCTGCTCCATTTGTGTTTGATTTGTTGATAAAATCTTGTTTAGAATTGAAAAGGATTGATGGGTCTCTTGAGATTGTGAGGATGTTAAGGTCTAAAGGGATCAGCCCATCAGTTAGTACTTGTAATACTTTGATATGTGAGGTTTCTAGGGGTAAAGGGTCATTTGCTGGTTATGGGGTTTTTAAGGAGGTTTTCGGATTGGAAAGTTGTGAACTTGAGGGGAAAATGAGAAGGGGTTTTAGAGTGACGCCTAATGTACATAGTTTTAATGAATCAGTGGTGGGTTTCTATAAAGATGGTGAAGTGCAGATGGTTGAGGGGATTTGGAGTGAAATAAGCAGATTTGGCTGTGTTGCATATGGGTTTGGCTTTGGTGTTTTAATGGCTTTTTTTTTTGTGAGGGAGGGAGGTTGGGTGAAACAGAGAAGTTATTGGAGGAAATGAGAGTGAAAGGAATAGTGCCTGACATTGTTGCTTATAATACTATCATCGGGGGGTTTTGTAAGGTTGGAGAGGTTGAGAAAGCTGAGGGTCTTTTTAGAGAAATGGGGTTGAGTGGAATTGAGAGTACTTGTGTTAATTTTGAGCATCTTATTAAGGGATATTCTAGAATTGGGGGTGTTGATTCGGCTATTGTGCATAAGAATATGTGTAGGAGAGACTTCAGGCTTGAAGCTTTGACAATGGAGATGTTGATTGGAGGGCTTTGTTAGCAGAAAAGAGTTTTTGAAGCTTTGAAGATTATAAGGAATGCAATGGGAGATCTGAGTTTGCATTCGAGTGGGAAGAGTTGTGAGTTGTTGATTAAGGGATTTTGCGAGGATGGGAAATTGGAGGAAGCATTGAAACTTCAATCAGAGATGGTGGGGAAAGGATTTTAATCAAATTTAGCAATTTATGGTGCTTTTATTGCAGGGTATGCGAAGTTGGGAAATGAGAACATGGCAGCCTGTTGAGGAAGGAAATGTCAGTAGCTCAAAAGCAGCAGCAAGAGGATTGAATGTTAACATTTGACTAGTTGTGAGCCTATACCTTGGGTTTTTGTGTTCATCTTCAAAAGTTTGAGAAATTTGGTATGTTTTTGTTAAACTTACATGTTTGTGATCAGGTTTTACTGCAAATTTGATTTGTTATATCATTTTTCCGCATTTCTGTCCTTTACTGTTCAATACAGGTGCATGTTCTGTAAGGATCTTTGAAAGCTTTTAGCACCATGGATGTGCTGCCAGCCTCTGCATTTTGCTAGTAGGCAAATGATATTTGCTAAAAGGATGGTTGATGGTGTATGATCATCAAGAACATCTTGATTCTTGACAGTTACATTTTGTGTCTTTTACAATCAAAGAAGTGCACATGCTCGATGGAGGTATAGCTGGGTGTAACACATAAACTGACTTTCAAGTATGCAACAAATGAACTCAGAAAGCAGTCTTGCCTGGTGGATTCAATGGTTGAGATAGATAATGATTGATGAGATAGATAATGATTGACGAGATCACGGCAATCAGGTGAATGATATTTGCTAATTGGATGGCTGGTGGTGTATGGTCCTCTAGAACATCTTGATTATTGACAGTAATATTTTTTCTCTCTCTTATAATCATATGAATGCAAATGTCCATGTTCATATAGGTGTCTAGCATGTAAACAGACAGTCAAGTGTGCTCCAAATGAATTCAGAAAGCAGCCTTTCTTGGTGGATTCAATGGTTGAGATAGATAATGATTGATGAGTACGCATATGTTTATCTTCCCCCATCATTAATATATTTACTTCTCATCTTGTAGGTATCGAGTTTGTTTTCATCAAGATGAGCAGATTCTGGTGCGTTGCAACCAAGGAAATCTATTTGTTTTGCTCCTTGTCGGAGCAATGACTCCTTAAAAAAAGAACATGCAGAGTTATGAAACGTGAAGACTTAGGTGTTGCCCGCCAACTTGGTGACCTTAATCTTCTCTCTGTTGATGCGATGTCGTCTGTCCATTGGTGATAAATGTGAACTACCGGAGAGTGGCACTTAAAATTTGATAGAACGAGTTTTATGCTGGCCGTAAAGATTATCGATCCATATCCTTCTGCAGGCCTGGAACATATTGTTGGAGATAATATGTTTGCCGCAAAACTGTTGAGTGCTTTTATGTTCAGATTGGCGCTAACCTAGTTGGCTATAAGCTTAAGTTAGCTTCCCGAACAAATTATTGTACTTTCTAAAGTTATATGCGAGCAGCAATGAAATCGCTAGATTTTTCTGGGGAAAAAAAACCCGTTTGCCTAGTACAACAATGGGATGCTGACTAGTTAAGATAAGTTGCTGTTAATGCACATATTGTAGTTTGAGTTTGACTGGTCTGCAAAGCATTGGTAGAAAATGGCATTAACAAAAATAATATGATACGACGTGGTACATGGATGCAGGAATCTGCTGTTATGGAACTTAACAGAACTGGTAGCTGATGCTGTAGAATTCCAAGTGAATATGTCAAATCACCTAATAGGAAGTCGATGTTACGAGCAAGATATATTTTACCCACAAGCAAGCCACAGTAACTTCAGTCACCCCTGGCAAGCACCTCAGCAGAAATTCGAGTGGAGTGTTGAGTTTGTGGAAGGTTTAGGATTGATTACAGGGGCCCTTTGGTTTTGAATCAGGAAACAGGAGTAATTCTGGAGGATACCCACGTTCAAGCGCTTTGGACAGAAAAGCCACAACAGTTTGTACTCCAATTTTTCAACTTTTTTGCACATCAAGTACAAAACATTGATGGTTTTTTATCTAGTTACTGTAAACCTAATTACAAAGCTTTTGTATAATTTCTCAAATACATAAACAAAATTGTAGCCGTATGGTTTTGGATCCACAATTGTCAAAACTTTGAACATGTGTACGTACAGAACTTGGATTTTCTAACCATGAACAATCTTACACTAATCGCAAAATTTGCCTTTGAACTACGAGTGAAAAATCACAAGGAAGGGAGTAACCAAAGATTGAAAAGAGATGAAGCCATAGACAGAAGCCAAGACAAGAAAGCCATGGCAGCCGATATTTTATACCTGCTGCAAATCTTTGGAGGGCAATGAGATCCATTAGAGTGGAGCAGGAGATCCACAACGCTAGCTGTTGAGCTTGCTGCGGCTAATATGAGAGTTGATAACACCTGCCATGTATCATGATGGAATTTGTCACTTGTTCCAATCACCCGCATCAATTAATTTTGGATAAATAACTACGGAACATACCCAATCTCCAAGGACAATAATCAGAAGTATTCCCGGTTGTCGAATAGGGCATTTTACCAGAACAGAGTATCCATCAACTATTGCCAATGTGAAACTCCATGGAATAGCCAAACCCATGATTGTAACTAAGTAGCTGAAAAACAAAAATATGATTTTATAAAAGCATAAAAACCCATGAAGGGCCTCTGATGATTCAATATGCTGATCAATTGATATTGTGCAAGTAAAATCAGCCATTGTTTGATCAAAATATGCAGCCATTGTTTGATCAAAATATGCACTACTTTCTCGAGAAAGTGATGGTTAAAATCGCTGGAACTTTTGGACAAAAAGTTAGGCACTAGCACATGCTTTCCACTAAACAGAAAGTAGGGAACATACCGCATGGAACCAACACAGTAGTTAAACTAGCTCTTATGGACAGAGTGGAATCCCGTTTCTGTATTATGAGTCATCACACAAATTATACTACATTTCATTTAAGGTTTGTGTGAGACGAGAAAGACGTGACATGTAGAAGAACAAGGTGGACTTTTGAAAGAAGGTAGATGAGTAACAAAACCTGAAACTATTTGGACAAGAGAAATGCAAGAGATCTATTAGGGGGAGTACACGGAGATCCTGACATTGATTAACTAATTTAAAATAAAATTAAACTCAGGTGAAATATTGTCAAAGATGCCAGAAGCAACGCAGCGCCAGGAAGTGGGTGCCACAAAAAGAAAAACATCAACAAGAGCTCATCTACCAGAAGAAAACTTTTCGTGCTTGAAAGCTGAGACCAGAAATGGCAAATTGAGGGGATAAATAATCCATTTTGATATAATGGCTAGAGTTAGTAATTTGATTGAAGTAAATTTCTCAAAGCTCTTGACTGGGTTCGGAAAAACAAGGTCTTAGACATTATGGTTTCACAAATTAAGCAGAAAACAGAAAATTTAAGTAACTTTGATTTGTTGAGAGGACAAATTCTGTTTCCAGGATTATTTTGAAAAATCTAGAGCACTAAAACAGAAGATTTCCTCATTTCTACCAACAAATCGGTAACCAAACGTAAGAGATCATGTGAAATTTAAGGCAGGCTATTTCCATTATCGATCACAGGTTGTTGCTTTGACTCATGATCGAAACTAACAATTGAGTTAATTTAAGATTTACGGTAATCTGTGTCCTCCTAAATTTGCGTTAGATTATCCCGAAGAAAAATAAATTGAAAATGTAACATCTGTCTTGCAATACCAAAACAAGAAACAACAAAATCGAAGACACTAGATGAACTTCCATGAATGAGATGAAAAGAAGAGAACAGAGTTTACCAGAAAGCAGTGTAGCTGTAGAATTCAACACCCAGAGACATGAAAAGAAGAGAAGCAGAAGAGAAGATGGTCTGACCCAATCTCAAAGAGAAGCTAGCACTAGTCCCTACTGAACCAGGTACATCATCCATGGGCTTGTTGCATGGGATCTTCTTCCCCTGTTATTACTTCTTCTTTGATTGCCCTCTTTTTCAAGGCTCATCTTACTGGCCCTTCAATTCTCAGCCATAGCCATCTCCACCCCAAGAGACTTTTCATCTAAATCAACCCAAAGGTCTCTAACATGTGCGTGTTATGCCGAGGATTTGATCAACATTCTTGGCCTTTTCTTGCCTAAAGTGAGAAATTGCCAAAGACAGAGAGATGGAGAGGAAGAATTGGTGTTCAAGGAAACGTCACAGAATTTTGGAGTCAAACTGCAATTAGTTTTTGTAGGTGGGAAGAAGGAAGGATAAGTGTTATGGAGATGCTGTTTATGGTGACTGAATAGTATTTAGTAGTTAAGAGCTCAAGAAATGGTCTTACTTCTTCTTTTTCGTTTCTCGTTTTTTTAAAGAGTGAGGTTAGGGCATTTTTTTATTTATCATGGAGGTTAGGGCATCAATATTAAATATAGATTGGTTTTTAGGTACGTTATTCATGTTTAAAATGATATATTTATGAAAAAGAATTATTTGTTTCCTTTTAAACTTCAATACAAGACATTGTTATATAAAGTAATTTTGTTATTGTTAATAAATACATTAAGGTTATGGGGTGTTTGTCTTAACTTCTGCTTCTGTTTTTATATATTTTGTACAAGTGTTCATGATCGGGAGAGGTATCTTTATTCTTCATAAAATTCGAAGCTTAGCTTGATTTTTACTCGAATTTATCCATTCAAGAAATCAACTCAAGGAATTTGCTACAGCGCTACCACAGTCTTCTTTCTATTATTTCCTTTAATTGTTATTTTACTCATCGTGGGCCGCGGGGGATGGGACCAGAAAGCACCTTCGCAAAATTTTCAAGGCATTAAGAAATAATTAAACCTTGGTAGTCAAAACGAGGCATGGATGGCCAGGAGAGAAAGGTTAACCGGTGCTTTATTTGGAGGGTTGTGGACTCGCCATTTGTCATGCCTTTATTGACTCCCTTGTTAGTGGGAAAGGAAGGACTAAAAGGAAGCAATGCTGGTGAATCGCCCCTGTGCACAAAAATAGTAAACAGTGAGATACCATGCTAGCGTGCCTTGAGAGTCTGGTATTTTCTATTTTCATCGATGCATAGCATAGCAAAAAGGGCTGAAAGAAAAGGTAAAACAGCTCAAATCATGCTGGCTCAACACAGCACAGCGCGGGATAAAGCTTGCCTTGGTGACTTGGCATGATTGGACCTGTCGGCAACTGGTTATTGGTCGTTTGCATGATGTTCTACTGTTCAGCCACTCATTGGCCAGCATGTCTTCTCCTTCATTGACTCTCTTTCCCTTTCAGGAGCAAAACCCATTTTAGTCACCCTCTTACTAATTTAACAATGAAATCAACTATCTTCACTAGATTGCTTATATGGACCCGCGGTTTCTGCCTGTCTCATCGGGGTGATTTGAAATATCCCTGTAAAATTTCTAGTTGCATTAGAGAGATCTCTCATGCGGCTTCCAATTCCCCTTACTTTCAAACTTTTCATTTCAAAGACGATCAAATTGCAACAGAGGTGTGCCGGCCGATCCTTAATGACATTTACTTTCAAGACAGCGCAGCCTTCCCGGCAGCCCTCCCAACCCGTCTTCCCCACCTTTCATGGAAGAAAAATCATATGGAACATGCTTAATATTGTATGCCCAAAGTGGCCTCCGGGCAGAGAACACCATTCAGAAATAACACGTAAAACATTCCTCCTAAGAAATAAAATTCTTTCACCTAAGTATATTCCGCGGAATAAATACATCAACCAGCCATTAAATAATATCACAGTATTGAAACTCCAAAATCATAAGCTAGAAAAGATGGCCTAATGCAAGTACAAGATAACTTCACGTGCTTTCAGCTGAAGAATAAGGAAAGAAAATAGATAGAGCTCGGACACTCATCTTCATCTCAACAGAATTCGTCTCCTCCAGGACCACTGCAGCAGAAGAAAAATAGATCAAATAAATATAACACCAGTAAATAAGATGAAGAAATTAAAAACAATTTGTGGCACTGGAACCTGGAAATAAGACATCGAGTTTATCTATGGTTTTTTCTAGCAATTTAAAGCTTACCATATGGCGCGCAAATTAACAACTATTGAAAAAAAATCTCTAAAAAAATCAAAAAAATAACGAGACTGAAAGCATGTTAAATGTTTTGCAACAAGCAATGATAACGAATTAACAAGTAAAAACTTAAACAAGCCAGTGAACTTGACTAACATTGCCATTCAGAAGTCTGAACCAATTTACTGGCCTTGATGGACAGCAGAATATAATCGACACTCATATAAATGAAAAAAAGTTTCAAATAATAAAATGCTCCTCACGATACTTCACAGAAATACACACTATGACCTTCAATGCACAATAATAGGCATCAACATAAAGTAATATTATGGTGCAAATATCATCACTGCTCAAGAGACATTAAAAATAGAACTCGAACACCTTATGAGTGTGCATGTGCCAGCACAGGAGCATGCCAGCAGAAATGCAAAAATGAAAAAGGCAACAATGCAGGCAAAAAAGTTCCCTGGACTGTTTAGCGAGCTGGTGAAACAAATAACAAGGAACTCAAGCAAATGCAGGGTGAGGCGCTATCTAAAGCTCCCTGGGATTCTGTACAACTTAATTAGTAAGTAATTGATCAATGTGCTTTACATACTAACTAGGCAGTATGCCACTAATTTTGCAACCCATATAGCTTGGGCATTAGAGCAATTTCTTAATGGAAACTAACATGCAATCAGTGCCTAAAATGGCCCCGGCATCTAGTTCTCCTCTTATTTGTCAAGGAAAAAGGCCTATTGAGCAAGCCAGCTCTGAGATTGACTGTAAGCACCATACAAGTTGAAGCATTGCACATAACAAACCAACATTCCTCAAAAGACAACACTACCAGGACGTCAATATTAAAAAACAAAAAACAAGACATTTCTAAATGACTTTGGTTTATGACCAGAACGAACCACCTAGGACCCAGGAGGTCCAGGAGGACAACAGCACCGCATTGCTGTGTTCATTTATTTGACAATTAAAAAAGATAACTGATGTCAGTAAACTTCATAAATTCCTTTTTTCACCTGAAGAATTCAGCTGACATTAAACCAAACGAAATCCTCCACATTGAGCTTAACCATCATATTCAATTTCAAATGGAACAGATCCCCTCACTACTAACATCCCATCATTTCATTCTAAACACTGTTTTTTTATGATCAACGATGTCCAATTTATAATTGCCAAAATTCACTATTCCTTCCTGTAAATGCCTGGAGGACAATTTGACTGATACCCTCACTTCATCTTCCTCTCCTCTCTACTTCACCCACTGCTCGCCACAGGCTTCTTCAACAAAACCCAAGGAAGAAAAATAAGTTTCCCTTCATCATTCTAAACTTACATTAGCCCTTCCATTCAATGTTTATGGACCATATATTTCAAACTTCAATTCAGAATTATTTCCAACAGTCCATAAAATCACATTTGCAGCACAGCAGTACATGCTAGCTCAAAGATCGAAGCACCAGTATCACCTCACTGAACAAGCAAAGTCACGATTTCAACTCTAAGCATTCAAGTGATTGATCTATTTATTTTATTTATAAATAAAAATTTATTAAGATCGTAAATAGAAAAGGCCCACGTCATAGATTTAAGCAGTAAAATTTCAATACACTCGTTCATAAAAAAATAATTAAAAAAAAACACTTAACAACCCAATCCGGCTTTTTTAACCCGGGAGGGGTTTCTTTTGAATGACAATTGAAACTCCTATCGCCCAGACAAACAGAAAATCAAATTAATACTCATCTCCCAAAACTGTCAAAGAACCCAAAAACTAAACAAAATCCGATTCCCATCGATCCTAGAATTAACAAAAACACATCTCCCAGAACAGTCTAATAAACCAAAAACAAGGAGAAAGTTAGAGAATTTGATTACCTTCAGAAAGAACGGTGGGATCTAGAACTCGAGCTTGAGCTCATCCTTTTCATGAGAGAGGTAATGAAGAGCATAAGGAGTGACACGGAGCACAACAACCCAGGCACCAAACATGGCCACGTGTGACCTTAACTGCTTCAAAGCCTCTGCTTTGTCTGGTTTTTTCATAAACAATCCTGGAAACATTTTTACTTTTTATTTCGATTTTTTTGAATCTCCGATTCTTTAATTAGGGTTTTTTTTCCCCCCAGCTTTGTCTAAAACCCTAGATGCAGTTTTGTACTTGCTTTTATTGCTGGAATGGGGATTGGGGGTTTCAGATCATTCTCGGACACGTGTGAGTTTGATGTTGACTTAACACGTGTGTGGTCAATCCAGGAATTGTTCTACGATTTGGGTCCTCAAGTTTTGAGAATGTAATGTTCGGTCGTGTTGAATATTCATATAAAGTCTTTAACAACGAGGAAAAAAAGTTATAATAATTTTCATAAATTATTGCTATTTCTTAAGAATTTTTATTAGGCTCTGGGCCGGTCCATTTAAAATTTTACGAAATCAAAAGTTGAAGTCCTTCCAAATTCCCATGGCTAAAAAAAATAATTAAAAAAAAACATTTTTTCTATAAAAACAAACGTTTTTCGAGAAATTATTATTTATCTACACTTATTGCATGATAAATTACTATAATAATCTAAAATATATTACTTTTAAAAAAAAATTATTATTATTATTTAAAAAAATTATTCTTTTAATATTAATATTAATGTAATTAAAAATTAAATTTTATAATTTATTTCTTTTCATTTCATCTTTTAACAAAGTTAAAATTTAAAATTGTTTATCTATTTATTAAGATAACCCAAGTTGTTCTGATTTATAAGTTTAGTGAATTTTTTTTTTTGAATTGAACTTGGTTTTGTTATTGTTTATCATGTATAGTTAAAAACAATAGTTTTAGGGAGAAAAAACCATTATACATAAAGCCAAATACATGTGGAAAAAGTACTATGGTTTTCCTTACAAATTGCTACAGTATTTTTTTTTTTTTCTGAAAATACCTGTCAATTTTATTTTTTAATATTAAGCTAATTAAAAAAATTAAAATTTTTTTCTTAAAAATATTATGGATTGCTATGATATTTTTCCACATGATTTTTTTTATTTGTTTATTTTTAAAAAGTATATTTATTGATTTTATTTTTTTAATATTAAACTTATTTAGAATTTAGTTTTGTAATTTTTTTAAGCATTGTGGATTGATATAATATTTTTCTGCATGTTTTTTTTATGATTTTTTCTAAAATTATCTTTATTAATTTTATTTTTTAATATTAAACTGGTTAAGAGTTACAGTTATAATATATGAGAAAAACACTGTAGCTTTCCAGGCGAATTACTATGGATTCCTACAGTGTTTTTTTCCATATGATTTTATATATATATATATTTTCTCAAATTATCTTTGTTAATTTTATTTTTTAAATATTAAGCTGGTTAATAATTACAATTACAACTAACACTAAATTATGTGGGGAAACACTATAGCTTTCATCGCAAAATACTATTGATTGATGTAGGTTTTTCTCGCATGGGTTTTTTCCAGTTTCTTTTATGTTTTTTTTGTAATATATATTTTTAAATTTTCTTTGTAGATTTTATTTTTTTAATATTAAGTTAGTTAGAATTTAACTTTGCAATAAAGCTTAATCGTGTGGAAAATTCAACTAACTTTCCTTGCAAAATATTATGAATTGTTATAATGTTTCTCTGTATTTTTTTTCTTATCATTTTTTCAAAATTATCTTTATCAATTTTAATTTTTTTAATATTGAGCTGGTTGAAAATTACAATTACAAGTAATTACAAATAAAGTTAAATAATGTGAGGAAGCATTGTAGCTTTCGTGATAAAACATTGTGAATTGTTATAGTTTTTTCAACATAGTTTTTTTTCCTATTTATTTTTTGCTATATTTTTTTTCTAAAATCATCTCTGTTGATTTTATTTTTTAAATATTAAGCTGATTGAAAAATTATTTTTGTGTTTTTAAATATTAAGCTGATTGAAAATTTATTTTTGTGATTATTTTCTTTAAAACACTGTGAATTACTGCAATATTTTTTTCACATGATTTTTTTAATAATTTTTTAAAATTATTTTTGTTGATTTTATTTTTAAAAATATTGAGTTGGTTAAAATTATAATTGCAAATAAAACTAAATCACAAGGGGAAAAATTATATTTTTCCTCACAAAATACTGTGTATTGTTATAATATTTCTTTAAATAATTTTTTTATGATTTTTTATAAAATTACCTTTGTTAATTTTATCAGGAAAAACATTGTAGTTTTTATCATAAAACATTATCAATTACTATAACGTTTGTCCTTATAGATTTTTTTCCTTTCAAAATTATCTGTAGATTTTTTTAATATTAAATTGGTAGAGAATTTAGCTTTGTATTTTTTTTACTTTTTATTAACAAAAATACTAACTCATGTGGAGAAAATATTGCATAGTCACTCATAAATACTGTGGATTGCTATAAATTATTTTGTCCAGTCTATAAGTTTTTTATCATCAATATAATTTTTTTTCCATCATGAATTATTGGCTCCATTACACCTTAGTTTCTATTATTTATCTAATATTGATTCACAATTATAACACTATCAGGTTGATTTATTTTATAAACCCGCAGTAGCGTGCATTGCATCTTGTATTCTTCCATACAAGTTTCATGTTTTAGAGTTTTTTTAAGAAACGTAGTAGCATTATTTGTTAAAATGTTTTTTTAATACATTAAATTAAAAAAATATTTTTTATATCAACACATTAAAATAATTAATTTAAAGTAAAAAAAATTATTTTTTAAATACTTTTAAAATATAAAATTTTAATATATATTTAGTAATTATTTTGACTATTAAAAGTCAAAACACCTTTTCACTGTTGTTGATTGCCGTGTCAAATAATGATATAAAATTTGTTGGTATTGTTGTGAAACCGTGTTTTGTAATTTTGTTTTTTTAAAAAATATTTAAGATTAATTTTGTTATATTTTTTGATCATTTTGACATAATAATGATAAAAATAATTAAAAAATATATTTATATATATATATATATTTCTAAAGCAAATTTTTTTTTTTTTTAAATAATTGCTGTACAGTTAAAACACTGTAATTACTAAACTGAATTGAAATAATGGATTCAGAGCTGTAGATGTCTAGACCGCTTTCCATTGTTTTAGCCATCCTCGAACTTTTTGGTATTTGTTATTTTAGGTAGGGAATTTGAAACGTGCACCTCTTGGATGTCACCTCCTCGGACTTTTTTCTTTATTTTTTTTCTAAATCAACCAAGCTCTACAGTGCGAGAGAATTGGAATTAAGCACCAGACGTTTATAAATTCTCTTTAATTAGTTGGATTTATCAACAACGTCCCCACGCTTTATCAGCTGTAGAATTTCTCACATGGATTGGTGATGGAGGATCGCATGAAAAGTTCTATTGCTATAAACGAAGAAACCTAATGATCCATTACTTCAACATTTCTCACAGATGCTATGTTGCATTTATAGCCGCATGCTATGCATCGTCTAATTTAACAATAAAAATGACCTTGCTGCTGGTGGTAATAATAATAGTAGAAAAAGAAAAGTAAAAAAAGAGAGTCGTCGATCTTGCAGAAGCCAAATACGAGAATGTGAACCCTAAATCCAAACGAGAGAAGCAATCTTGTTCTTGAAGGGAAAGAGAGAGGCATTGTCGGGAGTTCAACAAAAGATATGAAGAGTTCATATTTCATCGAATTAACCAGTCTTGGAGACCGAGGGTCCAGCGAGAAGCAACTAGCATGCCATGTTCTCTTCCATCCCCTTTCTGGCATGGGCCTTTCTGTCCTCTGTCGGTGCATTTCACAAAATAGCTAGCAAAAGTGGAAAACCACTGAGCCGATTTGACCCATCTATGCCCAAATCCAACCCCAGCAAAACCCACCAAGTAAACCCCCATATAAACCCAACCCCCACGTCAAAATCCCACCATTTCCTTCAACATTAATAACCCAATATCACTCTCCTTCCTCTCATTTATGATCTGCTCAGTGCTCAATGAATGATAGAGAGGGAGAGGGAGAGGGAGACGGTCAAGAATACCTTTTCTTTTCTATAATCAATGCGAGCCAGAGAGAGCAGAGGTGCAATCTCTCTTCAATTTTCTCATTAAATGCCATCGGCACCTACAATTAATGACCCATCCACAAATTGCCAGACTACTCGTATATTCTCATGCCCCCCTCATTAAAAACTCCACCTTCCATGCAAACACCCACTCTCCATTTAATACCACCTTGACCCCATCACCGCCTCCTTTTCGACCGTCCATTCTCACGATCACTCAATCTCGCCCTCCACGTGTGTCCTTCTCTACCTCCTGTTAAACCTCTCCGGTGACAGCAGTGCCTCGGGGTCCCCACACCTTAGCCGGCTAGACGAAAACGCGGCCATGCTCGACCCCACCGATGATCTCAAAAACTGTGGGCTCGCCATAGACTTACACCTCCTCGACGACCCACCACCACCTCCTCCGCCTACGGTGGAGAACCTCTCCGATAACGGGAAAAACCCTGATCCTCTCCGTCTCAAAAACGGGGATTTCATCCCTCTATAATGCCTAAACGAAAAAACTCTAGCTTTTGATATTGATCCAAACGGTGATGGCCGTTTGCTCCAAAAACCCCCCCTTCTAAGCCTCCACGGAGAAGCTGTAGCTGGCTCCATTACTAACATCCTCTCGGACGCCAAGCTCCGTTCAAACCCGAAAGAATAAGATCTTTTCAAGAAGAAATGATCACGACCATTGAATCTGTCCTCTGAATTAGTATTGAAGTTGTTCATACTATGTCTTCGCGGTGATGGTTCTTCAGGACATGGTGTAATCTCCGTGACAGTAGCTGTAGCTGTGTCTGCAACAGCAGAGTAAGTGCGTAGTGGGCTTTGAATTAATGGTTCGAGCGGAAGAAGAGTACTACGTAGGAGTGTTTCATCAAGACTAGGACGAATTCTTGCGGCCATGACCGGAATAAATGGAGACTCGGCTCTGAAAATCCCCGCACGACAAAGCGGGCAGTTCGCGTGTGACCTTAGCCAAATATCAATACAGTCAACATGAAATGCATGCGAGCAAACAGGAAGTGTACGGACATATTCATCATCTTCGAATTCAAGCAAGCAAACAGCACAGTCTTTGATTTGCTTGTGAAAGCTATTGCTATTTTTCGTGGTGTAGAGTGAGAGAGGGATGGTCTTGATGACGGACTCGTCCAGCCCGTAAGGAGAGTAAACATGGAAGCCTTCTGAAGAATCAAAGAGTGGAGGTGGGGAGTCGAGGCCACCATTCGAGGAGGAGGGGTAACGGCGGCGTCTACGACGGCGCCACCGACGCCATCGGCGGATGACACGGAGGAGGGAACGGGAAATTAGGCGCGAGTATGTGATTATTAAGAAGGCGGCAGCGACTACCACCACCATGGCTATTAAAGTTGGGCTGAAGTCAACTGGTAGTTTGGAGGTTGGTGATGGTGGTGAGGATTGGTACGAAGGGGCGGTGGCTGCAGGGGTTGAGGAAATTGTGGGAGTTGGGGATGGGGCCCAATTGTGGTGGTGGTGTGGTGTGGGAGAAGGAGATGGTGTGGTTTTGATCATGGTGGTAGTGGTGGTGGGAGGAGGTGTTAATCGTGCTGGTGCTTCGAGTTTTTGTGTGTGTGTGAGTGTTGTTTCTTTGTTTTGTGGGGTTTGGAGGTTTAATGTAATGGTTGACTATGACTTGTCGTCGGGGGGACTGCAGTTGGATGACACGTCAACATTCATGAATTTAAGGCGGGTCAGTTCTCTGATCCAGTGTGGATAATACTACTCTAATACAACTCCTAACAATGGTTTAAAACCTGCCACATTATAGACTAGGTTGTGAGGCGCTTGACGTGCAAACTTTTGAGTGGGTTCTGGTGTTTGGCTGTGGATTCGAGTGTTTTGAGGAGTGAAATAAAAAGTCTACTGTAGGATTTGGCTTCAGGGGAGTTCGATGTAGGGACCCACAATTTGAAGGATTTTCCTCGTTGATTTTGACACACACTCTCACAGACAAGACTTGTGGAGTTTGAAGGGTGCTCGTGCTCTCTCCACTATGGAATTCCAACTTGTTGAATTTGACCCGCATAGAAGGCAAGTAGCATCCATTAGAGGTCAGGAAGTTAATAGAACAAGAAACAGATCCAGGTGCAGGGATCATGCCCAGAAGAAGAAGAAGAAGAAGAAGACAGCTGCAAATTTAAGCTTATCTGGAAATTCATTGCAGATTTGGAATGTTGAGTATATGTATATGGGAACCAGTTACTTGGAAAAGGAAATTTTAATGGCTTTTACCCATTATTCATCCCTCCATCCTTTCTACTTTATTTGATTGAAACAATCTTTCTCTCATTAATTGAATGAATCTGTCATATAATATGCTAATGTGCTTAATGCGGATCACTGTGTCCTTACAGAGTTGAAGGCGATCTAATAAGGTGTTGGATAATCCTGACTGTTGGGCACTTGCGGCGTTTGACTGGTTTGGTAGTGCGGTAACGAAGTGTTTGAAAATGTCATGTTTTTATTTTTAATATCAACATATTAAAAATATTTTAAAAATAATAAAACAGTGGTTCAACGCAACCCAGTAGGCTCTGCATCACAATCTTGATAATAAGAAGATGTTGGATGTATACGACGGATGATCAAGATCTACTACTAGATTCCTTTCTTTCTGTTTTTTCTGACATTTTACAAAGTTGGCTATTTGAAAACGTATGTTTTTCATGTGTGATGTCGGGCGGCCCGGTCCCGGTGACTTTTGGTGAGGTCTCAGCATCGATTTCCTGTTCAATGGAATGATGGACCGGCCCGGTTGCTATACCATTAAATATGTTTGTTTGTTTTTTAAATACAAAAAAGAAAATCCTTTCCCCTCTTTCAATGTTCTTGTTGTCTCTCTTTCAAGATGATTCGAGGGCTGTGTTAATTTGGCTACGATGCATCATATCAAGCTTCGAAAGAAATCGAGTGGGGTCTTGCTAGAAATCTACTGAGATCTTGTCAAGGTTTTGATGATTATGGACTCTTGGTTTGGGTATGGCTATGCTGCTGGTGTTAATTTCTTGAGAAGCTAGCTTGTGTGTTCATCCTCTCTACCCAAAAAGAGATCAGAAAGGAGAGAACAAGAATAGGAGAAACAATTCTTACCCCTCATTTTCATACACTTCGAGCAGGCCCACGAAAGAAATCTATACCCTCAAGCCCTGTAAAAAGATGGTCCAAAATTATACTTATCCCACTTCTCAGATTTTTCCAGGCCCATGAAAGGCTCGTTCTGGGCCCTTTCAAGTTCCGACATAATCAAACGATCCACCAGCAAGAAATTCATGACTCTACTTATCCCCTGATGAACTTTCCCATGCTACGCCGAAGGGCTGTTCCGTGATGCGGTAGAACCCGTGCTTCATTAAAATTTTTTTATTTAGAATTATTTTTTTATGTTTTAGATTTTTCAAACATTAATATTTAGAATTAATTTTTTTAAAAATAAAAAAATATTATTTTAATTTATTTTTAAATAAAAATTACTTTAAAATACAATTAGTTTCTTTTCAGCATGTCATCGGCAGAAGTGAATGATGGAATGAATGAGTCTTGAATTTCCATGCTCGAGCAATCTACGAGAGGTATACCACCCGAAATGACTACAAAATAGTAAGAGATCGAGAGGATATATTTTACGTCATAAATGATATATATATATATATATATGATGTAATTAATCATCATTTGCATTGCTCAACTATCTTGAGGCGTCGATGGAGATGCTATTATATAAATGGATTTGCTTGTGACGCCACCATTTTCAATCACTCGTAATTCAAGAAAAAAACAATTGAAAGAAAAAGTCTTCAAATAAAAGACCCCGCCCACATGCTTCGACTTCCTATTTAAACCGGACAAAGTTAATTGATGAGGTGTTATTTTAGGCAGTTATTTTTAAAAATATTTTTTTATTTGAAAATTTATTAAAATAGTTTTTTTTTAATTTTTTTAATATTAGTATATTAAAAAAATCTGAAAACAAATAAAAAAAAGTCGTCTTGGGAATTGAATGGCCCCTTGTTTCGTTAAATTGCATTAATCACAAATGTCCGCATCCAACCTGCCAAACTCCGAACTCCCTTGTTGCTGTGTTTTCTTCAATGGAAGCCACCAGTTATCCTGAGTGGATGAAGAGATCATCACATACCTTTCTAACTCTTATCAAATCCAACCATCACCCTCTATTTTCCTATCTAATTGCAACCATCTCTTGAGCTTAATTTCACTAATTTTACCTCCGGCAATTTTAATCCAAAATAAGTTAAATTTTTTTATAGATATATCTGTATAGATGCTGGTAACTTTTCACGGGATGTCTGATGGATGCATTTAAAAACTAGATAGAAAGTATGAAATCCATGAAAAATTTCGAGCATGCTAGATAATTTTTTTTGACAAGAATAATTATAATTTTTTAAACAATCATTGAATTGAATTATGTTAAAATCTTACCCACAAACCATGTTCCTTATGCACCAATTGAAGTCGGAATATGCTCAAATTCAGCCTAGAACATGCTATGTTATAATTTTATATTTTTTTCCTAGTTATTTTCTGATTTTTTGGTGTTTTGGGATTCATTTTTCTTTTAAACCAAGGTCAATTTAACTACCATTTGAACAACTTTACAAATTATTTCATAATAGATTTTATATTGTTCAAAATTTATGAAAAGATTTTCTATGTAGTTTAGTTTTATAAACTAAATTTGAGAAACTTTGATCTTTTATCGGTGTTAAATACTCAGGATGCTAGACTTAGCCTTGTGAAATCTATTTGGGTTTAAATGCAATCTAAAAACAAATATCTCGGATTGGACACCGATCGAATGGTGTTGCTCGGCTCATTATATAACCGAAGCAGGGAGTAAAGGGTAGCCGAAAAGGTAGGTGGATAATTTTAATTGCAATTTGGTAGTTTTGACTTTTGAGGGTTCCCATCAAAGTGAAATTGAAAATATGGCTAATATCCAAAAGGAAAAATAAAAATAAAAAAACAAAAACTCAATCCTGCACTTAGCTAAAGGTGATCTCTCCACGGGAAGTAAAGAAAAGTTTGTTTTTATGATAAAAAATATATTTAAAAATATTTATTTTTATTTTTAATTTATGTTTTTATATTTTGAAATTGTATTGATAAGTTGATATTAAAAATAAATTTTAAAAAATAAATAATATATTATTTTAATATATTTTTAAATAAGAATTATATTAAAAAATAAAAAAAATAAATTCATGTAACTCTTCAATGTAAGAGACTTTTGTTGTGCCAATTCTAACAAGATCAGTTGAGGGTTATCATTATGTTTTTAACATGTATTTCGACATTCACGATTAAAATAAATAAATAAATAAATAAATAAATAAAGCTTGACCTGGCCGAGATGATCGATGGAATATAATTCAATTCAAAGCAGTCCTTTCGCCAAGAATTGAAAGGCGTGATGAGACCATCAAGCATGTTACATGTAGATTAACATTTACAGCACCGATTAACTTACGATCCTATCGATGAAGCTTTTAGCGGCCCTGAACCTTAGCCTTGTAGGGGTCAAGGAGGCCATCAAGATCACAAGAGTATTAATCAGCATGGTAAACAGGTTAATTTCATGGGGTTGGAAGGAGGGGGCCAGCCCATCACTACCATAATAAACGAGGTTGCAAGTAACTTACATAGAACAGTTCAAAGAGAAATCATAATAAAAACAGCAATAAAATTTGGTCAGATGCCTGCCACTGGTAGTAATGCAAGAATTTATTGCAGCAGCTCAACAAACCCACCACCTCTTCTCACCTCTCTCTCTCCTTTTCTCTTTCTCTCTTCCTCACACTTTCGTTAAATTCAACAAGAAATCTTATCACAAACATCACTATAACTCCCATCTCCTGCTGCCCCCTTCTTCTTTCTTTTGTCATAACCAGCAGGCTTGATTAGTTCTTGAAACCCTTGCCGTTCTTTCGTTTCGGTCACACAATGTCAATGGAATTCATAGTAAAAGTTGAAGAATCAAGACCTGCAAGTGATGGGAAACCATCAGCAGGGCCTGTTTACAGGTCCATTTATGCCAAAGATGGCCTCATGGATTTGCCTGCAGGACTAGAGTCTCCTTGGCAGTTCTTTAGGTATAAATCATCACCCTTTTGTTTCTCATTTATGTTAAACAGATGTTGAACTATGGTATTCCTGTCTGTTAAGCATACAGATTGACATTGCCTGATTCTCTTCTTCTTTGGTTCTTGAAAATGAATATGCTTTGGAAAACTGGAGAAAGAGAGGCGTTTTTCATGCATTTTGGTTTCGGTTATGCATTCCCAGACTAAGATCGATTGTTTTTTTTAACGTCTCTTAGGCACACGATGATAACTTGAAGTGAGCTTTCTCATGCAACGAATTGGATTTTTTTTATTCACATTTGCCCCTTTGCTTGTTGAGAATTTTGCTGTTATAATTCCAGGTTCATGGTAAAAGGGACAAAATTTGAAGGAAAAAAAAAGAAGCTTAAAAATCATGCATGAACCCCTCTACTAGGGGCGATTTGAACATATCAAATCATGTAATTTTAAATTGTCAACGAAGGGCGATTGTTTTGTGACAAAATTGAGTGGAGGATATCAAATCGCCTTTAATTGCAGGAAAATGGGTCAATTTTTTTGGACCTAAGTAAATAGAGGGTTTGATAGATCTAACTTTGAAAAGTAGAGGGGGCATTTGATCAATTATAAAGTAATAAAAATGATTGGCCCATGCAGGTTTCGAACCTGCGACCTTCGCGTTATTAGCACGACGCTCTAACCAACTGAGCTAATAGGCCATTTGATTATGTGTTTACTTCGACTAAAATTGAACTAGAAATAGAGACAGATTCGATCATTTTGAATTTGATGAATTTTTGTGTTGATGATGTGAAGTGATTCTGCTCTCAAGAACCCTGGAAACAAAATGCTAGGCAGGCGGCAAGTCATTGATTCCAAGGTACTATTTCATTGATCACATGTAATTCGATCACTAGAAGATATCGTAGAGACATAAATGAATTTCCCATAGAAGAAACTGAAATGTCCTTGACACAAACTAGCAGGTGGGTCCTTATGTGTGGTTGACATACAAAGAGGTTTATGATTCTGCCATGAGGATGGGTTCCGCAATGAGGAGACGCGGTGTCAATCCTGTAAGTTCAAAACTTGGACTATTCGCTTCATAATTTGGTGATAATAACTGTCTTTTTCCCCTAACGATTAATGTAAGTAATCAACTTGGAAACGTTGGATTTTCATTACTAGGGAGACCGTTGCGGTATATATGGTTCCAACTGCCCAGAATGGATCATTGCTATGGAGGTAAATTCCACGTGTCATACCAGACACAATTCACCTTTTTCTTCGAGCTTAGCGGACATTTGACATTACTGGTCATTTTTGAAGTTTTTCACAAGGAAACTGGATCATAACTTGTTAAATTTGATATATTTGTGTTTGGTATTTCTCAGGCTTGCGACAGCCAGGCCATAACATACGTACCACTCTATGACACTCTTGGTATTGCTTCCTTTTATTCTTCAATCAGTCTCAGTTCACTTCTAGAATGACCTGTTGAATTCTCACTGCGTAACGTGGTTTAACAATCACAGGGCCTAATGCTGTGGAGTTCATCATCAATCATGCTGAAGTTTCAATCGCCTTTGTCCAAGAGAACAAGCTCTCTTCTGTACGTTATCATTCTATCTAAATTGGGAATTGATGTTCTTATATCTCAGAGTGGAATCTTGATCTTTTCAGAACTTTAATAAATGATATATAATGTGTTGTTTGTTTAACACAATTGCTGCTCTTTTTGCAGATTCTATCTTGCCTTCCAAAGTGCTCTTCAAATTTAAAAAGTAGGTCCAAAGACTAATAAAAGGTCCTCTTTTTTGAAAGTTTTGAGAGGATACTCTAGAGTAACAATTGACTGTGATTCTCTTTGTTCAGCTATTGTCAGCTTTGGAAAAATTTCTGACATGCAAAAGAAGGAAGCTGATGAACTAGGGGTATCTTGCTTTTCATGGGAAGAATTTCCTCAGTTGGTATGGTGGTGACCTTGACTTCTCCTCTTTCATAATTGATCATTTAACTCTTTACGTTTAATTGATCCTTGATGTCATAGTAGTCATTCAAGTTGGATTTATAAGAGTTCTGCCATACTGCCCATCTTTTTACAGGGGAGTTTGGATTGTGAATTGCCTCCAAAACAGAAGACTGATGTCTGCACAATAATGTACACTAGTGGAACAACAGGAGAACCAAAAGGTGTCATCCTAACCAACGGGGCTCTCATGGCAGAAGTATTGTCTGTGGACCAGCTACTTTTTCTGACAGACCGAGTGGTGAACAACTAAACACATATTATGTTTTCAAATCGTTTCTGATTAACCCCCTCGACTTACAAAGTTGATATTTCCTAGATTTTTTGTCTTAGGAAACAGAGTAGTTGCCCTCTACGGGCCAAATGCCTTGATTTTGCGTGTTGATAGTTTAGCAATGATCTGATATTGAGTTTTCTGTGTTATAGGCTGCAGAAGAAGATTCATACTTCTCTTTCCTACCCTTGGCCCATGTATACGATCAAGTAATCGAGACCTATTGCATCTACAAAGGTGCCTCAATAGGATTTTGGCGAGGGGTAAGATGAAGAATCAATTTTTCTTGCAATGACTCCTTGCCTTCTGTTTTTATTTATTTTCCCATTATCTTTAAACATATCACCTTTGAATTGTATGTACTGAGGTTGGTCTTGCACTCTGCTTATAGGATGTAAGATACTTGATGGAGGACGTCCAAGAACTGAAGCCAAGTATATTTTGTGGGGTTCCTAGAGTTTATGACCGCATATATACTGGTATTGTATACAATTATAACTGGATACGTATATATTGTATTAGATATGTAGATTGTAGGTCTTTGCTATTCCATGTATTTAACTCTAATATTTCTTCTTGAAGGAACACTTGCTAAAGTTTCGGCTGGAGGTGGATTAAAGAAGAAGTTATTTGATTTTGCCTATAACTAGTAAGTTTGTAATGTTTATCACTTGGATGTTATCGTCTGTGTAATTAGTGTAAGACTAATTAAGAAGCTGTTGGCAGCAAGTTGGGTTATCTAGAGAAGGGATTTCCACAAGAGAAAGCAGCACCCCTCCTGGACAGGCTTGTCTTCGATAAGGTTGGCCAGTGTACCCTTTAGTCCTGTCTTAAACTTGGATTCTGCAATCTAAAATGTGTTGATTTTGGCAGACAAAGCAAGCACTAGGGGGGAGAGTGCGTATCTTGTTATCTGGTGCTGCTCCTTTGCCTAAGCATGTAGAGGAGTTTTTGAGGGTCACGTCCTGTTCTACTTTATCACAGGGATATGGTACGATAGAATAAATTTTCTGCTCAAGTTCGTTGTGATTATGGAAGATATGCATCGATTGATATTCATGCAATCTTAAATAATCTTCGCATTAAACTTGGCAGAAGTTTCATATTGAAAATCAATATTTTGCTAACATAAATCTCTTCATCTAATATCTCTTCCCTTGATTTCTTGTGATGAATTTAAAAACTGATTCTAGTCTCCAGGAAAGGCCTGTACTCTGCAGTGCTACATCCAATGCATTGAAGTAATTTACATTTTTCTCTGGACTCCTCTCCGTCTACTTACTTTTGAATGGTTCTGGGTGATAGGTCTCACTGAAAGTTGCGGGGGCTGTTTCACATCCATAGGCAATGTGTATCCCATGGTGGGAACTGTTGGAGTGCCCATGACAACCATTGAATCAAGACTCGAGTCTGTGCCAGAGATGGGATATGATGCGTTATCCAGTGTTCCAAGGGGAGAGATTTGCCTGAGGGGAAGTACATTGTTCTCTGGTTACCACAAGCGAGAAGATCTAACTAATGAAGTTGTCGTTGATGGATGGTTTCATACAGGTAAAAATAAGTGATGCCTTTTTTTCCCTTGATCTTTAATTTGAAGATGATAAGAAAACTGCTTTCAATGGACATGTGTGGCTCATCTTGGAATCGTACTCAACTACCTGGGACCATTTTTTTCTTTACCGTGAATAGGCATGATCTTCAAACTATTGCAGGTGACATTGGAGAATGGCAACCGAATGGAGCAATGAAGATTATTGACAGGAAAAAGAACATATTTAAGCTATCTCAAGGTGAATACGTTGCGGTAGAGAACCTTGAAAATGTCTACCTGCGATGCCCTCTTATAACATCGGTATGTAGAACCAATAGGATTGAAACCATATTCATAGAATATTACAAATAATCAGGCTGCTAATGATCTATACACTAGCACTACAGAAACCTTCTGCTTTCTTCTAATCTATCAGTTGCTCACTTTTTCTGGTGCACAGATTTGGGTCTATGGAAACAGTTTCGAATCATTTCTTGTTGCCGTAGTTGTCCCTGACAGACAGGCACTTGAGGATTGGGCTGCAAACCATAACGAGACTGATGATTTTAAATCGTTATGCAAAAACCTGAAGGCAAGGAAATATATACTCGATGAGCTCAATAGCATTGGTAAAACAAACAACGTATGTTAATACCTGGCTCTACCACGTCTTTCTAACTGCATTTAATTATGTTTCCTCAACTGACACAAAGGATATTGGCGCAGCTTAGAGGATTTGAAATGTTAAAAGCTGTTCATTTGGAACCACATCCATTTGATATGGAGAGGGACCTGATAACTCCTACATTTAAGCTCAAGAGGCCACAATTACTCAAATGTTACAAGGTTTGCCTTGTTCTGTCTTTTGCCAATTAGTGCAAAATTAGCCTTTAATTGAATTATTAAACAGATTTTACTTATCAAACATTCAGGTATTCTAACATCATCTGTGATTTGATGTTCCGATATCATTGTGTGTAGGACTGCATTGATCAACTGTACAGTGACGCAAAGGGCTTGAAGGCATGAGAGCAGTTCATAAAGTTAGAAGGCAGAGTCAAGCTATGCAGAGCTGTCTCTGGAATTTCAATAAATAGATTCCTTCAGTTCCCTTGTTAATCTTTTTTTCTTGAGAACCTTAAGAAGAGGAAAAACTTGTGAAAGGTTTTCAGTACCTGTACGTTTATGATAATTTATTGTCAATGTTCGTATATAAATAAGATTGCTTGAAGATTTTCAAGTAGAAAATTTATTAGGCTATTCCAAATTTCAATCATGTGATTGGACATTAATATTTTTTTTTTCATTTTCATTCTCTTGGGGTCATTAATTTTTTCAAGGGAAAATACCAAGTAGAAAACACCAGGAAAAAAAAAAAAAAAAAAACAACTCAGCTTATTATGCATGCGCTTGAACTTCGAAGATTGCAGATTTTAACTAAAAGAAAATGTTCATTAAGCAGCCTGAGCTCCTATGAAAATGAAAGCCTCACAGCATCAGTAACATCAAATTTTGTTGCCAAGCATCAATGCTTTCCATTCACCCCCTGATCAGCTCAGTGCTTTCCATTCATAGGAAAGGTCTTGCTGCCCCAGTTCTGTAACGAGGGATCGGCAAGCCGTAGGTGAATGTGGCTGTTTTCTCATTAAACCATTTCCAGAGGCTATTTAAAAGAAAACAAATTGGTGACTAACGATTATCAATACCATGGTCCTCCTCTGGATCCATGGTGCGTTAACAACAGCTCCAATTATAGGGAACACGAAATGTTTTTTTTTTTTACAGGTGAGAGCAATACAAGAATCCTTCAAGGTTTGTTCAGCAAACAGTTTGATTTTGTACAGCAATGCCAATATATAACTGAATGATAGTCTCGATGACACATCAATCACAACGAATTTGAATATCACAACAAATTGATGAAACAACTAAAACACACTTAAAAAGCCTGCTAATAAGGTTACAATGCACATCTGCTGAGGTGTGCTTAAAGCAAATCAATCAGCAATGCCCAGGCAGGATAAACAAACAGAAGGATGATGCCAACAGTGTTGGATATGCCATGTGCTTTTGTGAAGGAGTTTCTAAACCCACCCGATGCTCGGATGTGTTCTTGCAGCAAATAACATGCAATGGCTAGACATATGACTACACCAATCCAGTTATTCCTTATCGTGCTTGTAAACAAACTAGGAGCCACCACTATTAGAAGAATCAAAGCACCAGGCATTTCAAGCCAATCTGCAATAACGGACATAGTTAATTATCATGCATAGATTGCCAAGAAAATTGATATACATTTACTCAATGGACATGAGAGCAGCTTTTTTTCTGAGAATATAAAATGGTAATGGTAATGGCTAGGAAAATAAATGTTTCATATGGAAAATCTCGAGTCACAATGAAGTAAACAGTTCCTTACCTGGGAAACGTTTTGGGAAGAAAAGACGCAAAATGACAGCAACGAAAGCGATCCATTTTCCAACATCTCCTCTTCACAAAGAAACAGCTCAATAATGAAAAAAATGTGGTGGGGAATCCATAGAAAGCAGCTCGAAGAACGTAAACTAACCTGAGCAGGCTGAACAATATTGAAGGAAGAGTAAAGAAAATGTAAGGGATTAATAGTCCAGTAAGAATGTTGGTTTTCCAGTTCGTTCGATCCAAGATCAGTAGATAACTGCAAGGAGCACAGTAAGGATGGCATATCAGGCTAAAACATAGTAGAAGAAATCGAAGTAATCCAAGTTATATCAATCCAGCACCAAAGCAACAGAAAAGAAGTGGACTGGAGAAACAGAATATAAGATGGTTAATTTGCAGCAAGGTAAAGAAGAAAAACTAATCATGTGCATAGCATTCATTGCTGAATTAATCATGTTCTTCAAAAATTTTGATAGAGCAATTTACAAGAAATCTCATATATACCAGCCATTTTATTTGTGAAATACAAATTTGTAAGGGTAAGAGATCAAGAAGTTAATCTTTGCAAGTCCCAATTCTCAAGAAATTCTTCAGACACACGCACAATTAGACCACCTGTACTGAATTAAGAAGCATAACTCAATTATGCAATCGCTACATACTATAAAGCTTAAGATAATGGTTTCACAGAGTTATTAAAAAATATCAACAATAATTCATCAGCATAAGCAACCAAATTCAAGGCTAACACGCACGTTCACTTTTCAAACAACCAAATTCTTAATTTGCCACTGATTTGGTAGATTAATGCTGCTACACTGACATGCAGACATCTATTAAATTAACATCATCATAATAAAATAACAAGCAGGTGTCCCTATCTGCGCTGAGTATATTAAAAAAAAAAAGAGATCAAACTTCAAAGTACACTTACATAGCAGCAAAAGCAGCGATCCATTCAAGAAAAGTGGTACCAAACCCTAACCCACCAAGCTTGACAGCATGATTAGCTAGCCTCTTAGCAGCATTAGTCAAGTCTTGAAAATCAGAAGCAAACAAGCTACTCTCCATTCCCTGACCCCTCCTCATCGCCAAGTAACTTTTCTTTCCCATCTTTTGCTCTCTAGCTTTTCTCACTCTGTTGACTATATAACCCACAGCTACACCGTTATAATTCAAGAACCAGAACAGTTCTTTTGGAGACTGGACAGACGAGCGAAGTGTACCAAGTGAAAACTGGCACAGCAGTACTGCTAGTTTAGATAGATAGAGACAGCTATCTGTTCTTGCATGCTTCGGTGCCAAGTGGATATCCAATAATGCTGTGGTTGTTGACCTACTTAATTGTTGCCGATTGCCCTTCTTGGAGGATGTTTGAATGGAAGGTTGGTTGTGTTTTTTTAAATAAAATGCATGTTTTTATAGTTTTAGAGATGTGTTTTGTGTTTAAAAAGTATTATATTCTTAATAAAAAACCACCATACCTTCAAACCACACACACTCTTACATTACGTGTCCTCTCTCATCACTAATTATTTTAGGGGAAACACATTTTCTTATTTATCACGAGAGGTGTATAATTTAGAACACCGAGACATTTCAGAACTATAAAATATGATTTAGCCCCAAGGTTTTGTTTTTTGTTTTGGCTTTAATATTCCTATCCGAATATGATTAATATATACGCCGAAGATACTAGAAAGTACAAGTCTTTACTTTGTCACCTCAGGAGAGAGAGAGAGATGATATCTTGATCATGACAATGGATTATTGATATTAGGATCTGAACTGAAATGAATCATTGAATCACCGAAGAAATTGCCAGATTAGGTTTTGCCACGTCCACTACTGTTTCACATATTCAAATCAAATCAAATCAAATCTTGCGGCCTTACTCCATGACAAATAGCACCGTTTATTTATCGATGCCCATTCGTTCAGAATTTTCCCTTGTTTGGTCACAGCATAGCTTCAGAAAAAATAACCAAACACATGGAAAAAGGTCTTGGCGTTACAATCGAAAACTATCTAGCCTACGGCCTATAGCAACCGAAACTTTATGACCAGAGTTTATTTATTTATTACTATTATTTTTTTACCCCAGGACTCGAAAGCTACATATCTGGTACACAACCTAGGCCCAGCCTAGCTACTTGTGTTTCCGGATCAAATGGGAAAAGCAGAAACCGAGCCCCAAGAATGAAACACTGAACGAGAGTGGAAAACAGAAATGGAGTAAATGCTTGCCATCGACGTAGTTAAATGTTGACACCAAAAATGGCTGACCAGAACTTATCACTGCAGTCCTCATCAGAATGCTTCTTCATGGATGGTCCTGATGTTTTCATACAATACGAAAAGAAACTGGCATGTTGCGATATTGAATTGAATAAGTTGTTCTAACACGCAATTAATTATATTGTTAGGTTGAAGAGCAATTAAATTCTTGTCCTGGTATTACATTACCATCTTGATGGGCATTTAGAAAATATATTACCCAGCACTCATGCTCAATGACATGAAAAGACTAGCCAGATTGTCTTGTAAATTCACTTTCTACTTCTCGTTTCCCAGTTAAACACCTGTACATTAACAAGCATTCCACTCTGCTGACTTTGAAAGTAGATGCGAACCAACTAAATCAGACTCGACTGTAAATGCCACAAACTCTGTTAATCAAATATCGGACCGATCATTGGTTAAAATATCAAAACTTTGCTTCGAAACAAATGAATTTTGATTGAAATTTTCATCTCAGGAGGAACCTACATGAACGAACGAAATCCGTAAGATATTCCACCCTTTTTCAATGTAGAGTTCAAAGTACTCCAACACG